GTAAAAATTAAATTATTTCTACAACTAAATTATAAATACTCAGAATTGTAGGTCCTAAAGTCCCAACGTAAGCTCAGTTGATATTTTGGGCATAGAAATTGCAAATTTGTCACTTGATAGCAGCGAAATTGTTTGTTGTTGTTGTTTATTTTACGTTTTGCTCACCATTTTTTCTTCGTTTAATTTAGCTGAATGTGTAAAATTTGTCAGTATTTGACATATAAAAAAGAGATCTGAAATCACGACTGGCAGTGACTTAATTAAGAGACATGTAACAAGCAAAGCAACTTCATCGACAAGCAGTTGAACTTCAAAAGCTTGAATTTAAGATTTTATATATTTTGGTTCAATGATCCATTCAAACATCAACAACGGCCTGTTTCATTTGAAATGCTTTTCTTTATGCCCTTAGAATATCTGTATAAAATCATACTAGTTTTCTATTTCATTTTGATATATATTCTCCCTAGATGTAAATTAAAGAAAAAATGGATTAAATGATAATCGTTAATTAATAAGTGCAAATGAGTACGAATATCTGAAATATATTGAAATATATATTTACCTTTTATATATGGTCGTTACAAAATACCCCGGGAGAGTCAGCGGTCATTATCAATTTAGAATTAAAAATCATTTACAATTAATAACGATATAGAAACATATTCTATAGAAAAATATTCTAAATCCAGTTACCAACACTTAATATCCTACCGTTCATTCAAAATTCCTTTACTCTAAAATAGCAATGCCGTTTCCTGATCAATCAAGATTAAAACATTCATAAAATGTAAATTGTGATCTTGTTGCTTCAAATATGTTATTCTGATATTCTGTCTATGCAAATATTCATTTTCACCTTGCTTCAAAAAGTATAATATGTATCACTTGAAACAGCAGAAATATTATCGGCACTACGATATAGAAAATCAACATAATGTATGCCATTTTAAACATTTCATCACCAACATCCCCTCCTATTGTCGTATTATTCATTTTATTATTCTCATTCTTTCGTACTGAAAGACGGAGTACACTTTTCCAGAAACAAAAATCAAATCGGTTCTGAAAAAACAAGCACACTTTTCACAATAAATATCAAATAGGTTCTGCTAAATTTTGCCAATAATTTCAACAGTTCCCTGTATATCCAATGTCTCGTAGACTTTAGATAATCGCTTTAAAACCATTTCTGGTGCAAAATGTATGTTTAATGGATTGAAGTGGAAATATCATTGTACATTTATGAAGACAAATAATCCTAGGACGAAATAATTCCATTTTGCCAATACATCAAAACAAACTAAAACAATAAATGTTGCAACATTAGTTGGTCCGTATTTAAATACTTTATGGTTTGTTTAGCTATTTTAACAAAGCTATCTAGTAGGGAAGCCAAATAGGCTAAAGGGACAGAAAATGTGTCCAGCAAGATACAAAATCACATGAACTTCACGGCCATTGTGAAATGTATCTGTATATTCAGAAACGTTTTATTGACATATATTATCCTCGACGCTTCTGAAGTTTTTTCCTTCCCATCTGTCAAGTGTGCCTTATTGTCGTACTTTGAAGCCAATGATCATAAAGAAGGGTGATAAACAGATATATGTTATTGTCGAAATAGAGTACTTATCGGTAATTTTGTTGTTGTTGTTATTGTTGTTGTTGCTTTTTATTTCTTTTTGCTGTTTTTTTTCTTTCTTTTTTTAGAATGACTTAGTTATTTTAGTTGTGTTTAGAAAGTTCATACTTCTAATTAAAATTTTGCTTCTACTTTCCTACTTTCCTGGGAGGGCATCTCTGTGTTAAAGAAACGAAGCAGAAGATAAATAGCTTGTCTGTAAAGGGAAATGAATTTGTACAGTAGTGTTGTTTAATATTATACAATTATTGACTAGTGAGCCATTGAATATGATGTGATATTCACCGGCAGATGACATATTGACCGAGGCGATAGCCGAGGTCAATATGACTTTCTGCCGGTGAATATCACATCATATTCAATGGTTTACTAGTCAATAATTGTTTTATTATATGAATAGGCTAAGAAATTAAAAAAGTCACAAAAGTGCAACCTTATAATTATACATGTACAAATTTTGCTTCGTTGAAGCGCGGGAAGAAAGACGCACGTGTTAGGCGTGCAACGACTACGCAAACGCTGCGCATACAAAAATAATTCAAGTTTATTCTCATTATTACGGTGTAACCCTTAAGTATAATAGTAAAGTATTGATATATTAATCGAGAAATATGCCATAAAGAAAAAAAGCAACAATTATTTTTTAATTAACACGCGTAATTAACAGTCTGCGGTGTATAATCATTGAATATGAGTCTCAATCTATTTTTAGACTGGGAAAATCCAATTTAGCCAGTGAATATGATACTTCACCCAGTAAATATGATTTTATAAAAAGTTCTGTTGACTACTGTTTGGACCAATGAGATTGCAGCTATATTTAGATCATATAATAAAATTGAATACCAAATACTGATAGTTATAGCCTTTAAATTACACCGTCAGCTGATATAAAATATCGTTTATTTTTACAGTTTTTATATTTGTTTACCAGTACCTGTACGTAAACTATGTGACTCTTTAATATGTTTTATTCATATTCCTTAGTAGTGCATAGTAAGTTCGATTACTCTTGTTTTATAAATACTAGTGTATCATATGAGTTATCTCCCTTTAACTGAACGGACGTTATTTGCTCAGACAAACGTAATTTTTCATTGTAATCAATATTGCGATAAAACGTGTTTTCTTGTACATGCAACATGTACAATCGTGATATATTTTGATAATCATTATTTAGGATAACAATTAAACAAGATATTTATTTAACTCATTTTGTCTAACAAATTCTTTTACTTACTCTTTCCTAGTTATTTACTATAATCTGGCATTCCGAGCGAGCGTAAAATGGATGTAGCGTAAATACAGTATCTATTAAAAAGAGCTGTCGGTAGGTCAGCAACGCTCGATTATTCTTAGTGCTTGATAGTAAAAGAGCCTTGATAATGCAATATTTTCTAAGTGAACAAAAGTGATTTTTTTCTTTAAATCCATGTTACAGTTATAGGCATTGGAGATTGTCCTATTATGCTCTCAAAGAAAAGTATAAAATTTCAATTTGTTTCAAAGTCATATGTCAAAAGAATATAAAAATATCTGAGGTGGTATGCAAACTTAAATGAAATTGAAAAAGGGGCCTTATTCTGCCAAATGCTTCATAGAGTTACCCCCTCCTGTCTACAGGTTGGGGTCATGATGGTGAACAAGTGTGCAAAGTTTCAAAGCCATATGTCAATGGACTTTGAAAATATTTGAGGCATTACAAAAACTTTGACATTAGCGGTTACGCCGACGCCGAGACCGGCGCCAACGCTCGGATGACAACAATAGCTCTACTTATTCTTATCAAATAGTCGAGCTAAAAAGGACAAAGTTTATACCTATATAACAGAAACTAATTAAAATTGACATAATTACGATTTTAATGTCAGTTTGGTCATGTATTTACAACTGAAACTTCATTTTCGGTCATCAAAAGCACTCTGGGGGATATTTCAGGCTATTAAAAGGATATAAAGGATGTATTGTAATTTTTAGCCCGGATTCATAGTAAAAGTGAACAACAACATTATGTTTCTATGACATTGTTTCCATATTGTTTTGCAACAACAAAACAGATGGATAAATACAATACAAAATCATATGTAAAACTCTTTTATTGCCACAAGTTACGGTTTTCTGGAATTAAATGTGATCTGTATATTCGAGACAATCGATGAAAGATATTAGCCGCGTCACGACAAAACCAACATAATGGGTTTGCGACCAGCATGGATCCAGACTAGCCTGCGCATCCGCGCAGTCTGATCAGGATCTATGCTGTTCGCTTACAGACCCTATAACAAGTATAGAAACTGATAGCGAACAGCATGGATCCTGATCAGACTGCGCTGATGCGCAGGCTGGTCTGGATCCATGCTGGTCGCAAACCCATTATGTTAGTTTTGTCGTGACGCGGCTCATATGTCAAATCTAAAGCGGTTGGCTGAATTGATCATCGAAAAGGGACATTTTGTCCATCTAATTGTACATGTAAAAGTAAATTTTAAAAATAAAATTCAAATGTTCCCGTAATTGTTTCAAATTTTGTATTCAGATTGCTAAGGAAGAAAAATAAATAACGTTGTGGTGTTGGTAGTTTTCACCCCTGTTCACGGCAATAAGGCACATTGAATATACCAGAGCAAAGTTCCGCCACCGCAACGTTCCTGTGCAGGTTGTTAAGCAGTTTACCAGTACTAGTTGCCTTCACTTACGCAAGGAGCTGATACCTGCTGTACATGCCAGAGCAGAGATTTAGTCCGGATGACCGTAAAAAAGATTTCATGATAATTCCCAACGTAGGTGACTGGCACCCTCTGGGAATCCAACCCAGATTGCCCGATACACAGTCCAACGCTCTACCTATTAAGCTGACCGGTCGGTGCCAAAATCAATATCTCAACACACGGAACTAATTTATCGGAAATTCTCACGTGATTTTATGCTTATTTTATATTTCATTCTAATACTTATTATCAATTATTTGTGAAGCACCCGTATAATAGCTAATCTGTTGGAATATGTTTCTAATTCAACTCAACTTAAGAAAGAAAAATGAACAAAATTGGCACTTCATGTCACTGACATAGTTTCAAACCTCAAAAAAAGAAAGAACACATAACAGAATTTACATATGAATTATTTAATGTATATATATATATAATTATCAAAATTCGATTATTGATATAAATACAAATCATAATATAAAGTATATACCCGTCTTGACAATACAGTTACAATATTGTTAGTCTAAGAAATGAATGCGTAATTGTAAGTATTGTTACTTTAAAAATGAAGTTTACAATATGAATCATGGAAATTACTAGTAAAAAACAGGGAGTTGCAAAATAAATGCTATTAAGTGATGATCTTTTTAAGGTAACAATTGTTTTTAAGTATACAAGTGTTTTCACGCAAATCTTTAAATAAGCTATTTGATATGATGAAATTATCATTGACATCAAATCAATATAATTATATACAATAATTCATATTTACGAACATGGCACATACAAAAAAAACATATACATGTACAAAACACATATGATGCATGTAGTAAATTATTATAGAACTGTTGTTATGAAGAAAACTATATACTCATATACACGAAAGTCAATAGGAAACACATTAATATACAAATCGAATTTGAAAAAATAATATCACAGATTTTCATTATACATGTACAATGTATATGTAGGCTTGAGCTTGAAAAACAATTCATCATTTTGTGTTAGACAATATAGAATACGTGCAATTCACATAACTTATGTAAAACCATCGTCGGTTACCAACGGTTGATTAATATGTAAAATAAACTGATAAATATTATTACCGAACCATAATAATAATAAATTTTATTATTATTATGGTTCGATGTTAGGTATCCGACATACATGTGTCATTCTATAACAGGCAAATGTTTTGATAGATTTTTGAATTAATGTTATTCCCTATATTTGTAAAGGCATTTGACAAATGAGCCGAGTCACGACAAAACTAACATAGTGCGTTTGCGACCAGCAGTCTGATCAGGATCCATGCTGTTCGCTTACCAACTCTGTTACAAGTAGAGAAACTAATAGCGAACAACATGGATCCTGATCAGACTGCGCAGATGTGCAGGCTGGTCTGTTTCATGCTGGTCGCAAACCCATTATGTTGGTTTTGTTGTGATACGGCTCAAATCATCGAAATCGTCTGTTAAGTTTCATATAGTTATTTTTAGAAATTTGTCAGTTGTCAGTTGTATACATGTACAAATGTATATTGAAAAAATGGTCTCCAAAATGTCTGCCAAGACATGAATATTAAATATTTTTATCATGATAAATTTTTTACCCGTTTTATAACATTTCTACCTCAAATATGAAAAGTCCATGCAAATGCAGTGTAAGGCATGATAAAAAAGGGGTTCACTTCTTCAAACCAAGAACACAGATTCTGAAATTGAACACAAAATAAGTTTTTGCCCTATTGCAGGTTCCTACCGAAACGTGTTGCGTCTTTCAACTGCGGTACTACTTTTCTTACTTCTCTGATTTGCGAAAACTCCGCTGTTACTCCTTACGACAGCACGGTTACCATGGAAACTTGGCGCGCATTTATCGTCTCCTATGAGGCTTTCAAATGATTCCACTCGCTCCAGAATTTTGGGTGAAAGGGAGTTATCAAACTCTTTGAATCCAGATATCTCTGGATTACTGTATTTTCCATAAAACAGTGATTTAAAAGAACCCTTAAAAGGACCGGAAATGCCGCGCTTTTGTTTGTTTTCTACGTACACTATATTACCCTGGTGCCATATGTTCATACTTGGCGCAGTCACACAAACTGTAGACGTAAGTTTTGGTGCTTCCGGTGCTTGCATTTTTGTTTGCTTTTGCTTGGAGCTTGTTTGCATAGGTGCGTAAGGTTTGTCCACGTGATCTTCCGGAAGTTGGAATGAAACAGAATTCGTACTCTTCCTGTTTCTCGCGCTTTGCCGGCCTGAAATAATACCAGTTCTAGAATTAATTGATTTATTACTTAGGCTTGATGTCCTTGAAGATGGTTCGTCTTCCGACGACTCCGTCGGCGACGGGAGCTCCACATTTGTAAATGCTTCAAACACTCCATCTGGTAGAACGTCCGCTATTATCATTGGCATTTCGTCATCATCGCTTTCATTCCTGAAACCGGCAATAGTGTTTTCTAATTCATCCAATGCGTGTCTCTGCTCATTGGTTAGCGAATCAGTATCATTGTTTCCAAACACAGCCACCGCGTCATCTATTGTCATACCCATAGGCGTACTTGTTCGATTATCTGCGTCGGAGATCACAAATTCCGAACTCAGTCTCATACTGTCTCTAACTGGTTCTGATGCACGTGCATTTACACGCACTTCCGGCATTGGTTTAAGTTCGCTTATTGGTACACGTTTTTGAGTTTGCCTCACGGCGGCTGAATGTGATTTAGATATATGAACAACATTATAAACTCCGCGCTGATACCCAACTGTTTTAGAGTTACCGTTAGTTTTCAATGGTCCATTTAGTTTAACGTATATATCATTCCGCACGTTGGTCACGTGTTTAACGTCAGGTTTTAATACGTTAGCGTTCTCCTTGGTAATGTAATTGTGCATATTTGACGGCATTTTCCCGTTAACTTTTGTCGGGGCTGCGATTCCATTACGTTGAATGTATATCTGTTGGTTTTGCTGTTTAAAATTTCCCCTTCCTGAAAATGAAAGAAAATGTTTTTAAAACTAATGATGAAAAATATCGGTTGAGTTTATGCTTATGTCACAGGCTGAGAAAAATGTGCAGCCTGACTTTGACCCGAACCTAAGACGTTCGGAATACCGTTACGCGACTCTACCGACTGTGCTATCAGGTCGCTTTTCATCTTCTCCAATAAATAGTGAATAGTTCTAAACCGTGACAAGACATTAGAAAGTTTTATTAAAAAACAGTATAAAGTGATATTGTTATAAATCTTATAAGATACACTTCTTTCTAGGGTACTTTTCTTATTTGCGTTATGCATTAATTGACTTATTAACTATACATTTATTATTGATATATTAGAACATATACTTGAATTTATAGTCTAAAATAATAATGTAGACTAATAATGTTTAAGGCCCATTATGCCCAAGAAATGCTTTCAATTTCAATTCTATGTCTCAGAGGCTTTTTATTTTTTGTGTACTTTAATAATTTCCAAAAAGTTACTAATTGGCCAATTACTTGAACTCATTTTTCTTCTGTTGCTTTTACAATTAGTGGCAATTAGTACACTTAAAGTAATTTAGTATTTTGTATGGAATTCAAATTACTACTTTTGTTTACATTTTGTTACTTTTATGACAAATTATTTCACAATTAGTGCTTTTTTTCTTTAAAAAAAATCAAGCATCTAACATGCTCTAAAACATTTATTTTAACACTATGAATTTCATGTTAGCCATTTCTAAAAGAAGTAATATTTTACACATTGCTGAGGCATAATATACCTTTAAATCATTGGCCATGTCACGTTTAAAGCGTATAATGGTAAGATTATTGGCAAAAAAAATATCTCTAAAAAAAGATTTTTTTATTTGCTGAAATATCGTCGGTAGGTAGTATGCGATTTTCTTTTTCTACTTTAATTTTACAATAACTTTGATTGAATGTTTTTAAAACCGTATCTTAGAGCGCCATCATGATCAAACGTCGTAAACAGCTGAGCCAATGTTTTCTAAACTGTTGGATATTTTGCTTTAAGGTAACAATGGGTGCTATGATAATATTTTCATGAGCGACAAAGGTCCATACAACCGTATAACAAAACAAACTTGTAAACCAGGTCAACGGGGCCTTCAATCTTGTATCACAGCGGCGCAACATGGCTGGATTAATCGCCATAACAAACTTTAGGATAGCATAACATAAGAAATTCAAAATATAAACATAATCATACACCAAATTAAAAGATTTCATCTAGTGTAAATAATGCGGATTTTAAGCCGAATATTTGCCAATATCATTACATCATAAGATGATATTAAAAAGAACCATAAGTGTAGTTACGCCATTGTTCTTGCATTCCACTATTTTTAATTCAATTTAGAGGAAGGATCTACTTAAGTAGCCGTCATTCAGTTATATCGGATTATTTGAAGTGGCCGGCATTATACTTTAACAAAATAGTAAAATCTATCTTATTTGACTTGACAGAACATGTGTATCGCTCAGAGCCAAAACCCGCTAAAGTATTGTACATAGAAAGGAGCATAGACATCATTTAACTTTTAAAGGGACCTAACTTATGCTTTTTGACATGACGGGACTGAAAATATATTTTTTTTCAAGTAAAATGTTCCATACAATGTATGTCTAGACCAATAACTTATGTGTCTAATTTCAGATCATTCGCTCAATTCGTTTTTTCCAAAATAATTATTCTATTTCTATTTGTGAAAAATGACCCAAAATGGTAAAAGGGTTGGAACGCTTTTCACTCAAATCAGGCTCAGAATAGCACAAAATACGATTTTAGTTTATTTCTTAGTATATTTCTCATTTATTTTTTGCACATCTTTCTGTTTGAAGTGCCCGGACTGATCTTTGTTAGAAATTCAAATTTTATCTTTTTAGGATATTTGGATCTCAGTGGAGTTCCTTTAAATTAAAAAAAATATATATCTGTTCATCACCGTTGCCTTCACAAGAAAAAAGAATAGCCAGAAAAATAAGTTTACGGTTTTGATGATTTGCATTATTTAATGCCTTTTTATGTAATTCAATTAGACCGTTACAATTTTTTTCATTACATCATAATTTTCCTAAGATTTTATTTGGATTTTGGATTGTCCATTCAAAGGGGTTTCAATAAGGTACTACAAAACAAATGAACTGCCAACCGGTGGCATACAAAGGCTACTCACTCCCGGTTACAGCAGTGAAAGGGCTTAGACAAATTACCTTAGTATGCTGTAATATAATAATGGACAGTAGTTTTAACATATAATTAAATTACACGTTCAGGTATACATATAGCTTGAAGGCAAACATATTAAATCTTATCTGTACACATATTAGAAAGTAAAATCAAACACGATTATACATTTCTGCTAACCAAAATGCGGGCAAAGGGTCAGTTATACATAGTTATACATACTACATTTACAATGGTCAGCAAATTGAGAAACTTTAGAAAATTCAGTAGATTAGTTAAAGCTGCACGCCTCCAGATGAGCCAAAATATTTCAAGAAATTCAATCTTTAGAAAAATGTTTTAAGATCTTAAGAAAAGTAAAAAGATTCAATAACTAATTAATCATGTACATGTTATGTACGATTAATGACTGATTTTGCAGTATCAATAACTATAATTCTACAGCGTTACTAACGCAGTAAGAGGTATTTATGTATATTTTGACCATTTTTTGGTAATTAACGTGGATTGTAAGTGTCGTTTGCAATGTTTTAATTACTTTCTTTGTTCACTTCACAATATTTTACTTTTAAATACATTTTCAAAGTTTTCATGACAATAAGCATGAATCTGGAGGGATGCTGCTTTAAAATACCTCCACTAAGATGGAACAGCCTTAAAACATAAAAATCCAAAATTTTACATAGGTCAAGTGAAGCACTTAAAATGGAAAAATCGGCAAAGGATAGTAAATATATGCTCATAATTAAAGTAAAATCGATAGCTTGACAAGTGCAATTCTAAGCCCGATTTTAGTGAATAGCTTTTCGACGCTTTCATTTGGGGTAATTTTGCGCAATAAAAATAGATATTCTTGAAAAACCAGCTGAGGGGATAATCTGAAAATCTAACTATAAATTATTGGTTCAGACCCACATCAAATGGTAATCAAAACTCGGAAAAAATTCCAGTCCCGTCTTCCAAAGAAAAAAAACACAACACCTCTGTGGAGTCCCTTTAATAAAATGTGTTTAGCTATAAGTTCTTTAAGTGTTTGATATCTGATGCATATTCACGCCATTCTTCGATATGAACATCAGAAATGGTTTTAGTCACCAATAGCTTTTCTATTTAAATATTTTCTAAATAGGTGTCAAATAAATAGTAAAATAATATTACTAAACACACACACACACACACAAACGCTTAAATGACTTCAGGGCATGTTAGACGATTGTTACCTGAAGAAAGTAGCGTTAAATGTGAAATTATTTGTCATTAAATTAGCAAAATATAAACTAAGGATTATTTTGACTTCCATATAGAATACTAGATCACTTTAACTGTACATATTAAAATAAACTCTGTAATGATTTGAAAATCTTATTAAATGCTATTATTAGCCTGAATGAGTAAAAATTATTGCAAGGCTTATCAATTTTAGGACATTTTTTACAGTAAGAAAAAATATTCTGGAAAAAACGGAGTTAATGAATGGTCTGAAATTTTACACACACGTTACAAATATCTCCTCACTATTTCTTAAAACTTCTGAGGAAGCATTTGGCTATAAAATTAAAAACAACAATGAAGTAGTAAATAACAATAGCTCTTGGTTTGGATATCAGTGTAGGAAAGCAAGAAGAAACTTTCATAGAGCGAAATATTTATATAAATTGAGAAAAACTGACGAAAACAAATATAATCTTAAAGAAAAAAGTAAGATATACAAAAATACTATGCGTTTGTTTAAAAATAAACATTTGAATAGAAACATTGATAAATTTCGCAAATTAAAAATCAAAGATCCCAGGAAATATTAGAATTTACTTCGTAATAATAACAGTCAATGCAAAACGGAAGCAAGTATCGATGAAATGTATGAATTCTTCAGAAATGTTAATTTTTCAAATGATGGAACAATTAATGACAATAACACATTTGATCTAGAAAATAATGAGCAATCAAACCAAAACGAATCTATCAATTGTCCTATAACATATGAAGAGATTGATAAGGCAGTAAAAATGTTAAAAAATAATAAAGCATGTGGGTTAGACCAAATAGTTAACGAACAAATAAAATGCTCATATAGTTTAATGAAAGATACGTATTTCAATCTTTTTAATTTAGTATTTGAAAAAGGTGTTATACCTGAAATGTGGACTATTGGGATAATAAATCCAATATATAAAAACAAAGGTGATGCTAGTAAACAGACCTGGGGATGATTACATTGATCAGTAATTGATTTAATTACAATTACTTTCAGATTTTATTGTAATTGATTACAATTGATTACTCAGACTTGCCTCTGTAATCAATTAAATTACAATTACTTTGAGAAAGTAATTGATTGATAATTGATTACATTCCATGTATAACTATAAACAAAAGTTTCTTAATGCTATTTAATATATACATTATATACATTATATACACAAAGGATTTCCAGCTCATCAACAGTCATCATTTTAACACACTTTTAGTTACTGTCACATCACTTTATCATATTTTAGCATTGCACTTTAGCATCATAAGTTCATGAAACCGTCTGTCAGTCAGACTGCATCTATCAGGACGGAAAATTTTACCCGCAACACTAAACAAACGCTCTACAGGGGCCAATGATGCAGGGATGGTCCTCAGTCTTCTTGGTGTAGGTTTCATAATGAACTCTGCAACAGAAATTTTTAAAAGTGTCAATTGTACAGTATACTGTATACAGGTGTGAAAACAGGTGTGAAAACAATAAATTTTACATGGGAATTCAAAGAGACAATAGACTTTACAAAGAAATTATCAGTTTTTTTTACAAACACTTCAATGGTACAACAGTATCCATTATAATATAGACACATTGTCTATCACCTTACAAAATAACTGTTGCATATAATTAAAATATGGTAATATGCATCTGACGGTATCCGGACAATTCCCCTCCCAGACGATTCCCCTCCCAGTAAATTTGAATGTTTTTTCACAACCCGGACATTTCCCCTCCCGTTATTTTTTTACGGCGGACAATTCCCCTCCCGTTCTTTAATCAACCCGGACAATTCCCCTTCCGTTCTTTTAACAACCCGGACAATTCCCCTCCCGCTGTTGTCAGAGCGGACAATTTCCCTCCCGTGGCTATTGAATATATATATTATATAATATTGTTTATTTGAAAGGTATATACATTTTTGCAGCGGCAAAACAATAAAAGAACAATTGATAAGAACAAAAAAAAAACAATTAAGCTGTAGATTCTTGCAAAGAATATATTATGCACATGTTATAGTAAATTGAACTGTCATCTTAGAAAATCATATTCACCATATTGAATCAGTACATGAAGTCCTAACACAAAATATCAGTGATCATTTTGATTTTATATATGATTGAACACATTTAATTGTAGGAATATTCTCCTTCATTTTTAATTGGTTTTGCAATCAAGGACACATTTAACTATACGGGCGGCAATGCTTAAAGATTTTTTATTGACAGTTTGTTTATCTTAAGCAGCGGCGGCAATGATTAAAGGCGGTATAATGTCACTTTTGTGACATAATGATTGTTAAAAGTTCCGATCTTTAACAGTTTATTGTTAAGAGTAAAAACTGTCATCTTAATAAGAATGGTTATAGTTTTTTGTATACGGAATGTGAAAAAACGGGAGGGGAATTGTCCGCTCTGCTAAAAAATGGGAGGGGAATTGTCCGCTCTGCTAAATTAACGGGAGGGGAAAAGTCCGCCCTATTAAAATAACGGGAGGGGAAATGTCCGAGTTGTGAAAATAATATGGAAGGGGAATTGTCCGGGAGGGGGATTGTCCGGGATTCGCATCTGACATAAACTCTAGAATATTCAAAGTAAAGAAGTTATCTACATTGTTTGAAACTTTTTAAAACATGGTTTAACCAAAATATGTGAAACAAAATTTAACATACCTTTATGGGTAATGAAATTTGAATGTGACTAATAGCGTTTCCATTTATCTTCTTAGGGCACAATTTGCACTGTGCTGTCACATTTCCAGATGTTTCTTTAGGAAATTCAAAGACATCATAAATCCAATGATTTGACATTTTGGTTAGAATACCAGCCAAACAATGATGTCTATCTTTCAGTTAGAATTTGGTTAACTGTATGGATTAAAACTTATTTCTTCATTGTGAGTGATGTCTTTAAATGTCTCACTTGATATTTTACTACCTTAGTTAAACTGTAACATGTGAAATAAATCATTTGAATTTCAATAGTTTCATGTAAAATCTGAAAGTAATCAATATCAATCAAATTGTAATCATAATTACAGAGTGAATTTAAGCTGTAATTGATTAATTACAATTAATGTAATCAATTTTGAGCAAGGTAATCAATTACATGATGATTACACTGTAATCATGTAATCAATTAAAAAATCGATGATTACGATTAGTGATTACCCCAGGTCTGCTAGTAAACCTGAAAATTATAGACCTATAACACTTCTAAGCTGTTTGGGAAAACTTTTTACCAGTATAATAAATAATAGGCTTACTACTTATGCAGATGAAAATAATATAATAGATAATAGTCAAGCAGGTTTTAGGAAGGGGTTTTCAACCACAGACCAAATTTTTGTATTACATCATTTAATCAATTACGTTAATAACAGTAAAAATAAATTATTCTGTGCTTTTATCGATCTCAAACAAGCCTTTGATACAGTCTGGAGAAATGGTCTTTGGCAAAAACTCTTTAATCTTAATATAACAGGAAAATGTTTAAATCTCATTAAAAACATGTACGATAACATTAAATCGTGTGTCAGAGTTAACTTTGAAGTTTCGAATTTTTTCCCTAGTAACATAGGCGTACGTCAAGGAGAGAATTTGTCCCCTCTACTTTTTTCAATGTTTTTGAATGACCTTAGCGATTATTTTGCAAATAGTAATGACACTATGGGAATCACGGTACAAAATGACCAAAACGCAGGCGAAATTCGTGATTTTTTTAAAGATATTAATATTACTTTACGCTGATGACACTGTTATTTTTTCTGAATCGGTTGAAGATTTTCAAAAATCATTACATTTGTTTGAAAATTATTGTAAAATATGGAAACTTACTGTAAATACATCTAAATCTAAAATCGTAGTATTTTCTAAAGGACGACAACAAAACTATAATTTTATCTTGAACAACGAAAGATTAGAGGTAGTTACGGAGTACAAGTATCTAGGAGTTTTATTTTGTAAAAGTGGATCATATAATAAAACTAAAAAGCATATAGCATTACAAGCTACTAGAGCAATGTATAGTTTAATAAGAAACTTGAATCGACTTAGTTTACCAATTGATATCCAAATAGTTTTTTTTAATAAAACAATAAAACCTATTCTTCTTTATGGGGCGGAAATATGGGGATATGGTAATATAGAAGTGATTGAACGAGTCCAATTAAAATTTTTAAAGTATATTTTAAATATGAAAAAATCCACCCCAAATTATATGGCGTACGGAGAAACAGGCTGTCTAACGCTATCTATTGATATAAACGAAAGAATAATCATGTTTTGGGCTAGATTAAAAAAGCACGATGTAAATAATCATCAAAAGAAATTGTCGTCTCTATCATACAATATTACATATAATCTTTCCAAAAACTTAAGTGAAAATAATTTGAGAAAACAATTTCCTTGGATTGCAAACTTAAGACAAATTTTTATAAATTGCGGTTTATGTAATATATGGGATACACAAAATTTTGGAAACGAGAAGTGGTTGAAATTAGTAATTAGACAGAAACTAAAAGATGTTTTTCTAAATGATTGGTATTCCGTTATTCAAAACTCCAGCAAAAGTACATTCTACAGAATATTCAAAAAAGAATTTAAATTCGAAAAATACCTTTTATCAACTCCTAAACCTTTTCTTCGTTACATGATAAAATTTCGTACACGTAACCATAGATTACCAATAGAAACCGGAAATTGGGCCCGAATACCAATCAATCAAAGAACATGTACTTCTTGTAACAATAAAATAGGCGACGAATTTCATTACTTATTTGAATGTGTTTTTGCTTAATGATGAAAGAAAGAAATTTTTGAAACCCTATTATTATAGACGTGCAAATACATTCAAACTAGATCAACTAATTAATACAGAAAACAAGAGCGAATATTTGAAATTATGTAAATTTGTTAAAACAATAATTTTAAGATAATTAAAATTAGAATTCACCTCATATGTGATTACTTACATTCCAAGAATTACTTACATTCCAAGACTATTACACGAATATTTCACAGATAAATCTTTTATTACCCATTGTAAAGTGTTTGTTTGTTATAATATTTGTCTAAATAGTATGACACTTTTTTCATTTAGCTTATAAGTATGAGTCTAGAAATGTCATTGTTAAAATATTATGTCGTACTTAATTGTACATCACTTGTCAGTTGTTTATATTATATTTTTTTTCCTTTTTATTGTAATCGTTCTCATCGTTTGTTGATAAATATAAAAAGGTAATATAGAACGAAATTATACCCTAAGAGAGCGTCTAAATTACGTGACTCTTCACGGTTTTTTGTGGTAACATATTACTAAAAACTTTAACAATTTGTGGTTTTTGATACATTGTTAATTGAACGTACTGCAGTTCAGCAAATGATATGAATAAATACTCTTTCTACGAATTATTTTACCACTCAAATTATATAATTATACATTGTACATTTGTTTAAAGAGCCTCTACTAACATTGTATTTATTACTAACCACATTTATTCATGTTAACATGAAATGTGTGTAATAAAGGAAATTTGACTTGACTTGACTTGTTATTGGTCTGGACCTTCATCAAATGCAATATTTGTCTCCGACAATTATTTCCAGTTACATCATGTCTAGAAACCTCAGTGGAGTCCCTTTAAATAAAACGTACCTTTGTTATCACGCTTTGCTTCTTCGTCGTCAAGACACTTCGACCCTCCACAGCAGAACATTTTCTTTCTTGTTAAATCTGTAAAAATGTAATGCCATTACAGTTATCACTTTTCAGTATTGAACTAACATTGTACTTTTTACAAACAACGTTTACTCATGTTTTATATGTAGTGTGTGTAATAAGAGAAATTTGACTTGACTAAGGTTTTGTACCATTTCAGTAAAATTAAATGTGCAAATTGCATACAAAGTTTGAACGCATGTATTCAGTATGAAACCAGTACAGATCCGGGGTCAGTTTTTTTTACAAATATTTTTATTTCTTTTAGACATTGTTTTAAAGTTATGAACGGTTATGCTATGTGTATGTTACATTAAAGGTATAGGCCATTTTCAAAAGCCTCACTGTTGTGATAACCTTTTAGTGACGTGGTTTAGTGTCCGCCTTGTAAACGAGAGGTTCGGGGTTCGGATCCCGTCAGTGCTTTTTCAAGTTTACGATACTAGTTTTTCAATACTATTGTTGAAGCAAAGATAATTTTTAATAAGCATAGTTTACGAATTTAAATTTCAAAAATTATATCATTGTATTTTTTTTAAATTATATTAACATTTATATTTTCATTTGGGTATAAAATTATCAATTATTTGGGTTTGTTAATGTATAATATCATCATGAAATGCTCAGAAATGAAAATCAAAAGACATTAATTATACCATAACAGTAAAAATTCACTTTGAATACTGATGAAATATAGAAGACCAAACGTCTTCAAATATATATGGAATAACTTAACTAACATTGCAATTGTTTTCATGTCTCCCGGATAACGTATGTTTAAAGTAAACGTCACACCGGAAACATCTAAAAACTATAAAAAAATGTCTCTTATATGTCATTTATTTTTCCCTGATTTACTTGAACAACAATTTACATAAAAGAGAGAAATGATCAAACCTCTTAACACAGAAATTATTATTCCTCGCTGCTTCTTTAATTCCGGTATCACTATAACGTATCCGTTGTTAGCCTTGTATGCGCAACAAGAAAGCACAACCAATGTTGTGTTTGTCGTCTGCGTTTTTAATTTACCGTCTGCTATTTTGTATCTACATGTATACACATTATTTTTGACACGCAATCCTCATAATCGTTTTTATTCATATTATATCAAAATCTCATTTCATCGACAATCATTGAGAAATGCTAAAACGTGCTAATTGTCGCCATTGTAATCCGGTTTTAGGTGCGAAGCGGTTGAATTATGCGAAGTGAATGAAATGCCCGGGAAGAAAGGGAAGTGTGAACCGTTCATTGTTCGATCGTGGTTTGATCGGATCGGCTTAGTTTTTAACAGGTATTAGTTCACAAATAATAGAATCTTAGGGTTTAAAATACTACCCTACGTATGGACATAACGAAGCAGGTGATGTGAAATAAAGAGAGTTTTAAACTAGCACGATAATATCTAAGTTAACGCAATAGAGAGGCCCGTATTTGGCAAGTTAAAGGTTATTTTCCGCATCGATTAATGACCGGATACTATTCCATTTTATTCTTAAAGTTTGTTCAAGAAGAAAATTCTATTCCATTTGAACGCAACATAGCATATTTAGATTATAAAAATCTGTAAAACCGTTGCGGAAGGGAAAAAGTGCGTCGCATCACATGGTAGGCGCGTTAAAAAAGAACGTCACCGGCAGACGAATTAATACGCTATACGCTACTTTCGCTCACGTGTCCTTATTTCCTAGCTCCTTCAAGTACAGATATGATATTAAATCTAAAAGACCTACATCTTATTTTGTAATGTTATTTCTGTCCGCAAGATTTCATACATTGTACATTTGTTGCAATGAGTTTTTCATTTCTTGCTGTGTTCCTTTATTTAAAAAGGGTATACTTAATTAAATCAACAGCGATGGTTTGAAAATATTGTAAAAATGTATGAATAATGATACTAATTATTCACTGTTATTTTTTTTTACAATTTATGACAGAAGTATGGCCTCGTGATCTATATATTAAATAGGTGAAGTAGAGTCCGTTGAATATAAAAGATGAATAAAACATGAGTCTAATATATCTTGTACAATGGACTATAAAATCAGTGAAGATTTAATCCTCACAAAAATAGAATATGCTGTTTAATTCGTTCAATTATTTTTTACCGACCATGGTAGATGCAACATTAAAGAGGTCACGTGGCGGTCACAACACGGAACCGGATGTCACCGACTGTCACAATAATCCGCGTTCTTATCGTACGATTGGTTGATATTCGACATGACCCGATGTGTTCGCGGCTTAACGCCGATTTTCTTTCATCCTTTGAAAACGTATTGATTGTGAAGGACCAAACTGTTCTATATTGCTCTAGTTTGTAACAACCGATGTTTATATTATTGTAGCGGCTTTTGTGTGTAATCATTTTCATATAATAGATCTATTTGCAGATTTGACCTAAACTGTTTAACCCAATATTTAAAGAATGTGCACTTTTATCATAGTTACTCTTTTATGTTTTAAATATGTGAAGGCCTTTGTAGATGAAGGCCTAATTTATTGAACCCTGCATTTATTAAGGATATAGATCCGCAAATAAACTAACTAATATAGCAATTGTGTATTTCTTCCTCTATAAAATACAAACAAAATATAAAAAAACATACATACACAACATTATATACAATACGCATGGTAATGTTTAGTTACAATAATCATAAAAGTCAGGCTTTGATCTTTAAAAAAGAAAGAGAACCAACAAGAAGTTTACAATTCCCGTTGTTTATTATTATAAATTCGAGTTACATTTTGTACCGGCTAATTCAGAAATATGTTCAGTAATATTTCATGTATCTAAAAGTTTACACACAAATGCCAGTGTTAACTTACGTATGTATTGTATTGTATGTTCTTTTCTGGTGTATTGTGTTCTGTGTTGTATTCTGTTCTATTCTTTATTTTCACACGAAAATGCCAGTGTTAACTTGTACATATATACTGCATTGTGTGTTCTGTTCTATTGTATTGTGTTATGTGTTGTATTGTGTTCTGTGTTGTATTGTGTTCTATTCTAATGTAATTCGCTATGTCCTGTTATAGTTTGTATACTGTTGTGTTGCAGTGTGCTCTGTTCATACGTATTGTGTTCTGTTTTGTTGTATTGTGTTCTGCTCCTTTGTCTTGTATTTTCTTATGTTACACTATGTTCTGCTGTAGCGTCCTCTGTTCTGTTTTATTGCTTTGTGTTCTGATATCTTGTATTTTGCTTGGCTCTTATGCATTGTATTCTGTTCTGTTGTATTTTGTGTGCGTCCTCTGTTCTGTTGCATCAACATAGTGTTTTTGTTGTAGTAGTGTATTTTCTGCTATTACATGTTCTGTTTTGTTCTGATATCTCGCGATTAATATATTTTAAACGAATTAAACTCGAAAATGTTAGAATTATTACAATGAAGCTACATGTACCTATGAGTGTTTTTTTATTCGATTAGTTAATGAAGAAAATAACACCAACCCTTATTTTATCTTGTTATAATCTGTATTACTCTCCCGCGCATCCGTCGAATGCTCTACTACCTTTCACTTTCCTAGAATTCAATAAGCTGCTAAGGGAGCGTATGGCTTTATGAAAAAAAAATAAGATTCAACTTAGTATAGAATTACCTAAAAAAACATTTTATTTTCAAAAGAACGCATTACATTTATTGTATCATCAATTCGTTGTTTAAAACTTCGTATTGCACGACGGGTTTAAAGTTGAAGGCCATATTTTAGTAGCTTGTTAGCAGGTAGACTGCTGTGCAAATTACATGTCAATTGTCCACTATCACCTGTCACTTATTTGCGCGTCATTATAAATATTCTTATTATGTCTGACCATGTCAGCTGAAGTATGGAAATCTTAAAAGTACAATTAGTTGTGAAAAGAGCGTATGACTAAGCTGATGACACTTAGCTATTTTAATCTTCTTCTTTTTCCACGCTGATTTTGTACAATGATTTTAAAGCTGCCTGTCCCCAGATGATCCTCAATATTTCGAGAAAATTCAATCTTGAGAAAAACAAAAACAGATTTTAAGAACTTTTATAAAGATTCAGGATTCAAGTTATAATTTACATGTTATGTTAGGGCTATTTTTGTTTATTTTGACCACACCTTTTGGTGATTTACGTAGATTGTAAGTGCTGTTGGCAACGTGTAAATTACTTTCTTTGTTCACTTTACAATATTCTACTATTAGATACACATCTTTCTTGAAAATAAGCACGAATCTGAAGGTATGCCGCTTTAAAGTCTTAGTCCATCGCCACTTTGAAGTTACAGCATGTGTTTCAAAATCAAAGACTTAAAGTGGATTGGTCTTCACTGAGCACATTTCCATACAAATTTCAAATGTTGATAACAACAAGCGAAAGGTATCATTTGAATATTCTTATCTTTCTTGGTAACAATAATGGCGATAATTGTGTTCTAAGTGAGTTAGTATATACTTTTATAAACCTTAAAATATTAACAGTTTGTTCTAGAATCATGTATTATTTGATTTATATAAACATGTCCTATCGGAATATATATACCACACTTAACAACCACATCCATGCATATTTTTGTGATTTATTGTCGGGTAAGATCCAAAACATCCTCAATATAATTATTACACACTAAAATGATTTAATAGAAAAGTTGTAGTGAATCAAAAAAGAATTGTATAATAAGATCAAAGAGCTGAAAGCACTGATACTGATCACGGCTTAAATTACTTTAAAAAGTTGATTAAAAGTTATTTACCGGCCATGTTACAGTTATAAAATTGAATTAACAAAAACAAACATTTTTATCTTATTTATTTAATAGCACCTTTATTTCATTGAGCTTTCTACATTACAGCAAAATGTTAAATCAAAATACACCGTAGTCTTATTCTCATACAAGGCAGGTAGAACAAAGTTTGCATACCCTGAAATACATTTGAATGAGGAAATACAAGAACGAATTAAAATAAACACCTAGCAAATAGACAAAATATCATAATATATCTCATCAACACAACATGAGCCGCGTCACGAAAAAACCAACATAATGAGTTTGCGACCAGCATGGATCCAGACCAGCCTGCGCATCCGCGCAGTCTGGTCAGGATCCATGCTGTTCGCTATCAGTTTCTCTACTTGTTGTAGGGTTTGTAAGCGAACAGCATGGATCCTGATCAGACTGCGCAGATGGGCAGGCTGGTCTGGCTCCATGCTGGTCGCAAACTTTGGTTTTGTCATGACACGGCTCATAACGTGTATTTAAACGTCTGATATTAACAAAAATGTAAAAAATATCTTCGAGCCGCCAAATGATTTAATGATAGTATATCTTTACCACACAATGTATGAAATTATGGCACAATTGTTTCAGTTGACGTTTATTCTATTTAATAGAAACCAAAGACTTTTTTGAAAAACAAATAAGTTAAAAATAAACATATGAATTAAGCAAAACACGGCGAAAGCATAGTACAATTAAATCAAACTATTATAAATTCTGAAGCTTCTCGTACACTTTTACAATTGCGAGAAATAATAATGTTCCCCCCTCTTCCCCTGTCCCTCCCCGTTTGTATTTGGTATTAAATGTTAAATATTTTCATTTAATATTTAATCATTCTAAACCATATACATAGCAGCTTGAATAGTGAATGAAATCAAATGTTCTGTCATTTTTTTGACACCTTTTGAAAGAAAGACCATCTTTTGAGAGTTATTTTTTAAGTTTTTGTTATTTTCTGTTGTGCGGAAGACTTCAGTAACAATGCATACAATTATATAATGTATGTGTACATTCATATACACAATAGGTGAATACAACATACAATTAACTATAACTTCAAGTCGCAATGATGTATATACAATGTACTTGTATATAAACTTTGAACATTTGAGCAATGGGAACAAATATCATGACTGTTTATGTGCTAATTATCATATTAAATACATAACATTTGATTTGAATGAAATAAAATACTACATTTAGGAGCAAGTACAAGTATTCTAGAAATATATAATTTCTAAATCATATAAATACAACCATGCAGTATATATACAAACAGTTATACAATAGCAGCAACCTAGAACGCATTACTAACATAATAAAGCAGTATATATTATATTCACTACAGTGATTAGTGTACAGTACAAATGTTAACATTTTCACAGTACATATTCTCACAGTGTACAATTTGTATACATGAAACGATCCAAAACTTCTCTAAAATATTACATGAAAATGTGTTCAAATCCAGAATAAACATATGAATTCCGTGTCATATTAAAATAATACGAACAATGCATTGATAGAAATGAAAGATGAAAGCGTTTTTTTTTCACTTGAAGTGAAACGTCATAGTGTTCGTTGATTTAGTACGGGATGTTAACAAAACAAAAACAAAGCACACACCCATAACAACAATATTTACCTTGTTGAATGAAAGAACTATTAATAAATGCTTTTAAAACAAATTTAGAAACATAATTTTATATTTCTTTTTTTAGAAGTTATATTTTCTACCAAAATTCACTTGCTTTTAAAGCTGGTTACATGAACTTAAAGTTGATTATACGTGCTTAATGATTTTTATGCTCGTACTTAAAGTAGGTTAAACGTACTTAAAGCTGGTTGCTCGTACTTAAAGCTGATTATACGTACTTAAAGCTGGTTATATGTACTTAAAGCTCGACATGTGCTTTAAACTGGTTGCACGTACTTAAAACTGGTTGTACGCACTTAAAGCTTGTTACACTTTTTTAAAGATGGTTGCACTTATCAGTTACAAAAATACATCAAGTGTGTAATTATTACAAGTTAAGAGTGGACGTTTCAATATTTGTACCAATGTCTTTGTCTTTTCTTTTCATTATTGTAATTACATGTTATTAAAACGGATCATCTAAAGGTTTCTTGTGCAAAATCCGTTTGATGTTGCGGAAAGGCATGTCGAAGGCTAGAGAGGCGAAAAATGCAGCCCCAAAGTTTACAACCACGTGTCCGATAAATTGATATGCCTGAAATAAAAACACAATAACATGTATTTTATCATCGATCGATGTTTATTTCCATAGAAGCACAGGCTATGTTTTCCGGCTTAGTAAAGCATAAATTTACATGTATATGTATACAAGTAAACCATTTCAAAAGTGGAATGGACAATTTAACAAGTATGAAAACGAACGTCATAAGGTATGAAAAATATCAAGATTTAATTATATTGTAATAGTAATAATTTTGCAATGGCACGTTTTCACGTTTTTTGTTTTTTTTTTTATAATTATATAACCGGTCACTTTGTCTATTACTATTTACTGGACAGCTGATAAGACTGGGTTAATGTTCTAGTAGAGTTTGTTATTTGTTATATCGAATCAAATATACGACATTAGAATAGTTACAACTGAACTGTAACACTATTACATGTATAAAGCAATATTAATGCGGTAAAACGCTAGCTTGTAAATGTAAATATCAAAATATGTCTACCATCTCAAAGTCGTTCAGATGTACCAGTGTTCGTCGTGTATAGACGTCAAGTACCATGAGCACGGGGTGTATTAGGTAAACCAAGTATGTCAACCTGGACAGAGGTACGAAACCTCTCCACGAGAGGAAGTCCGATATAGGACCTATAAATAGAACAATTAAGATAATCATTATGACTTTACTTAAACATATACACACTGTAGTTAACTTGGAAAAATTGTTCTTTGATAAAAATTGACCATACAAAAGTACAGTTCCATAAAAGGTCAAACTGTTCCCTATGGTAACTTCCGTTTTATCATTTTCAAAGAATGAAAGGGAGACGACTGATTGAGATTGATAAAGTATATATTTATGAGCATGCGCTATCAAGAATGTACATTTGGAATCATTCGCTGACTTCCGTAAACGCCAGTACGTTTTAACGAACTAAGTGTCGTTATGAACTTAGCAACACTGATGACAACCATATTTATTTATAATCAAATGAAAATAATTATCAATCTAATTATTTCTCGATTACAGGTAATGTTTACCGACATGACTTTTGCGATCACAGTACTACTATAATTCTTCTATCTAAAGTGTATGCCATATAACGGTGGTGCTATGCACTTTATCAAATTCTGGGTCTTCTTTTAGCATCTTGCAGTATCATGCAAGTTAATTAATCGAACATATAATTATATCTTTACCTCCACGGCCTGATGTACATGCATAGATGACCCAGGCCACACAAACTGCCCAAACCGGTCTACCGAGTGCTTCATACACTGCCATCTGGGTAGAGGTCCAGGGTTCGAGCCCTTCAACGTATTTAGTGTACGGAATGTATACTAGCAGGATACCGATACTTATAGCCAGGAACCAACCAACAGTTGCAATTATCTGAAAAAAAGATATATCACAAAACCTTGTTACTTGATATGATTTAAAGCGTCCTAAAACTTTCCTAAAGGTCAACTATATCATTTTTATTTGTTTGGGTCGTCAGACCAAACAAATAATGGTAGCGAAATTTCAGAGCCTAATGCTGTTAATTGCAAATGCCTAAAGTAGTCCACTTTTTTGAAGCAGTTACTTCCCTTTATATGTACACTAACGCCAAAAAATTCAGGGGAGATCAATGCGTAAAGATTGTCAAATGACAGGCGCATTAATTTTCAAGCAAAGTAGTTCCCGAATGGTCGAAGATTTCTAATATTGTTTTATTCTTTAAAGATATACATGCTTACAGTAAGCTCCGTGATTATTTACATCTGTGTTAAACAACAGGTTTAGCGTCGAAATAATAAGAGTTACAAACCCTAATTTAGAATAATATGGTTTTCTTCAGGCCGTTAACTTATAACTCACCGTGGCCGAGGGGTTTGCACGCTCGCTTATGAATCGAGAGGTCTGGAGTTCAAATCCCAGTTGAGGCAACTCAATTTTTTTTTAAAAATTTTAAGTCAAATAAACATTGAATTGACTATCAGTGTTGCAATTAGTCTTATAGCCAATTTACTACAGTTAAAACACTGGAAATATGGTTATATAATCTCACAACCTTCACCTTTCTGACATTCTGAGACCCAAACAAATTCAGCACCTTCTGTGCTTTGATTTATGAAGCGTTTCATCAAAAGAATTAAGGCGGAAAACGAAATTTGCCGATGATAAAAAACATTAGCAATATAGAAACCCCTCGTTACCTCTAATCTACCTAGGTATATTACTATTTAATAAAGGGGCAATAAACAGCTCTTATAAACTTGTATCAAGATAAGAAAAGAAATGTGATATTTTAACTATGTGTAACAGTAGTCTGGCGTACTTTATTGATCTTCTTATGGTACCAATTCTCCAACACGAATCCTAGAGCTATGCCAACACAATATGTAGAGACACGACACCAAGGTTTAATAAACACATTGTTCCAATACTCTCCCCCGTCCATGCGGCTTCTAATCAAATAAAGACAGAAATAAGCTTAGCCTATTTTATTTGTATTCCATTAAATTATTTACACTCACCGGAACAAATAATAAAAATGACTGAAAATCTACAGATAATCAACACTAATTTTGAGGGAAGTAATATGACGCTCATCGAAATAAAAATGAGACAGAAGGTCAAATACAGGGCAAGGTCTTAACAAATACAAATGTTTAAAAAAGGTATTAGCTCCAGGTAAGAAATGTTCAAGAGTGCGTTGGCGTATTAATTTTCAAGTTTAATCTGTATAGAAATGTCATTTAAAATCAAAAGCGCTAATACAAAATTGAATTTCAATGTTTATTTAAAAGTATATCTCATAACTATAGGTTTTAAATGCGAGAGAACTTGTAGATTAAGCATTTTAGCCAAAAATCAGCAAAACTTCAGAAAAGATATTGGCAAATGTGTTATCCACTTTATATGTGTTGCTATAGGAAAAAGGTCCTCAAACAAATTCGAAGAATAAAATACTTATATAAAGTTCTTATTTATTGAAATCATGTGAGTCTTTAATTAGAAAAATCTGTGAAATTAGAAACCCCAGGATAAATTTTAAATTTAGCTTATATTATGGTCACATGACTAAAACATGGCGGAACTTACGTAAGTATTTCTCCTGGATACTGTGACTCCTTCACGCCGGCGGCAACAATGCCGGCAACACCAACTATCCCAGTGATCGCCAGACCCATTGACCATGAACTGAAAAAAATATGGAGGAGAAATGAAAAACATTTTTTCAAAACTTTATACACACATGTACATTTCTCTTATATCGTTTTAAGCGTTTTAAATAAACACAAGCCCGCATCTATTGCTTGAGACATGTGTAGTCGCGATTTAGAGTTGAATCAAATCTAAATTTGTCTTTATATAAGATCATATAACATACCAGGAATATTTATAACGTATTAATAATACAGCAAACTTCCTTTTCATGAGAAAAAAAGTGAGATTTCTTCATAAACAGACAACAGCCGTAAATATAAAACTTTATAATACTGCATGTTTGTAACGTCGCTTTTCATTGGATAATCGTGAAAATTATTAGATTATAAAATGCAATATATATTGAAAATAGCATGCAATTGTTGTAACGAATAAAATGGTTTGATGCAAGCAATAATACTGGTCGCTTTAACAGCTAGCTCCAATTTTATGTGACTAGAATATTGGTAATATCAATAAGATGACTGTTGTGTATGACAAGAATAGTATTAATCTTAATAATTAAAGACTAAGATTGTCAATGTATGGCACTTGTTTAATTCACGGTCCTTCTGTTCGTTTGTTGGGGCCTCGCAATATCATACAACATGTTAAAACAACATGGTTGCTACTTTTTATTGCGATTTAAACCACTGATTCTTTGTAATAACTTGGAATTAGACCTATGATACAGAGCTGAGGTATATAGGCTTACTATTCAAATAATAAATGTTTATACTTACAAGACTGTAAAGGAGAGTATTATAGGGGAGATGAGATAAAACTGCATGTTGACGGCGATATACCATGACCAGGCCATACACTGAAAGTTAATTAACATAATAAGGTTACAATTTGTTCCTTTAAATTGTGGATATATTAATATATATACATATATATAATATTATAATAAAACTGTTTTTAAACAAATTTCTTTTAGATTAAAAAATAAATAAAACAGAGGGGGGGGGGGAGTATCGTGTAAACTGTCAAAGTTATTTTAATATCTAATACGGAATTTTATCCGGAGTTATCTTTTCTTGAAATGTTACAGATAAGGGATGACAACTCTGTTAAGTAATGTTAAGTAATCGGTGCTATAAATTCAAGTTATTTTTGGTTAATGTTGCACAATATACTTGTAAATTTGAACATAAACTTGCCTGATTTTGAGGCTCAACCCCGTCAACACCGATCAGATTACTTATGTAAAGAAGATGTTTCCACCAGTCGGTGCGACAGCTGTCGGCGACGGCGATTTCCTTCGGCCATATTGGTCCGTCGCCAAGGTACATGTATAGATAAACAAATGTTATCATGATCAGCATATATGGTGGCGTCATCCTGAAATGAGAGATATATGTGCAAAAAACATATTGTTAATTAAAAATGTCGCGTGCCCTGTCGCGTGACGAAAAACTAAACATTGTGAATTTCGTCACACATAATTTTACAGACAGTCAATTAAGTTGCCTTACTCAGAAACACACAACACAAACAAACAAAAAAAGACATCCTGGCAAACGTCCGCAATGTTGTTACTGAGGTGGATTTTAAGTTTGTATAAAAGTGTTTCATTGTATGTCGAGCATATTTCCGAATATTTCGATATATTGTTGTTTTTTTCGTGGCTATGCAATGACAGGCGTGCAGTTAATGTTGTGTGTTTTTCATGCATCATTTAAATAACTACAATCATGTATATGCTACACTTACTTCCAATATTTTCCTAGATAGAATTTCAGCCATGTTTTGATACTGACTTTCCCATCTTGATATTGACATCTGTGCAGGAACCAGTAAGAGATCAGACAACCACTACAATAGAGGGAAATAAATGTTACTACAAGCTTATCAATTTCTACGCAGTTGTCTCCCTTTCATTCTTTGGAACTGATTAACGAACGTGAACAGTTTGACCTTTCGTGGAATTACACTTTTATTTATTAATGTCACTTGTATTAGATATTCGTGACGCTTGTATTATATATAAATTATACAATGCAATTGAACTTAATATTAATTAAGCAATAGAATCTAGTATTTTTATCATACCGAATGGTCGGATAACGTTTTTACGCGCTTGTATATTGTACTGAGTCATATAGCATACTAGTATATATAGTATATAAAATTGAAATTAGATTTCTAATAATTCGATCAGATGTAGCATTTGCGGGTGACAATACCTCAATTTTCAGGATATTGTAAATGGCACGACCGACTTCACTCCGTTCAATATGTTATATGGATGGTTTTCTGGCGACCTGGTTAACTAATCAATTACTTTATAACCAAGTGATCTTCAAGGATGTGCGCTATTTCCAAAGTATATTTTATCACAAAAGACAACTTGAAATTACGGTTGATGAATCATAATATAACACTGTAATAAGCAGATATTTAACAAAGGCACTTCGTTGGTTTAGGTTTATACATACAAAAGTATTTATTTAAGCTCGATTGCGAAACAAGTTCTAGCAACTTATATAAAGCACTTTTGAGTCCGCTTCCTGGAAGCAACAAGTACTGGTGTCATATGAAGAAACATGACAGTTACCCCAGTAGGGGTCGATCCCGTAATCTCTGGGTTGAGAGACAGACCCCTTAGCCATTAGGCCACCGCTTCACTTAGTTTCGGGATGAAGGCCATTTTTGTCTGATCAGAAGAACTCGAATGAAACGATTTTTAGCAGAACAGGACATAACGGATTTTATTATACAATTTAGTTTTTTATGCCCGTCTATATTTACTATGCCCGTGTGTTTTTTTATTGTTTTTATTTAAACACGTTAAAAATCGTTGCATTCAGATAAAATCAAGTTCTACTATAATAGCTCAAAAAGGGGTCTTAATCCGGAAACCAAGTGCCTATTATCTTTATTTGTCTTTCAAATGTTGACTGATTCCGACTATCAAATAACGAGATATCTTTATCTCTAACTCTTATACAACAAAAAAAAGAGATAAGTTGTGTATTTGAACTTGACCTTTCATGAATGTTAAAGGTTCGCGACACTCTATGGGTTTGTTTGGTATTGTACTACATGTAGATCTATGTACTTTTATCTCCAGTACTACTTGTACGAAATACAGGACAGACAGCAAGGCAATAGCGTAGTACTTACCGATCAAGGTCACAATTTCGGCAAGGTGAAGGTCACATGTACTAAATCTAATTATCACGATAATATTTTCAAAAGTACATGGGTCTGTCGCACATTATGCTTAAATTTAGAACGTATTTGCCTTATCTGCGTGAAGGACAAATTAAAACAAAAACTCAGACATGTCCATTACACGTACATTGGTTATGCTATCCTCATGCTAGCGTTGTCTATCTTATTGCATTGCATTGAAGGATAAGATACGCTTCTGACTATCGAGTGCATCTTAAGAACCATGCATTGGGCATGCATCCTCAAGATGACTTAATGTTTACGACACCCTAAAGTGCGAATCAGTACAATTTTAGGGTCCCAAAAAGTTATGGGAAAGATAATGTAACTTTTTTCAAAAGCCATTAATGATTGGAATTCCTTGCCTACATGCATTAAAAAATTAAAAAAACAGGAGATTACAAAAGCTCAGTGACGGCCCTTTTACTAGAACAGTTAGGAAATCATAATTAAATTAACTAGTATGACTAGATATTGATCTTCATTTTTTTATTGTTTTTTAGCAAAGTTAAAGGAAATATTAAAGTTTAATATTTTACTTATATGACATCTTCCAGTTACCAAAGTTTTGGTGTTGTTTTTTTTCAAGTTTTTGTTTTTGTTTTTATATTGTATATTCTAGTAAGTATATATCCAAGGACCCCATTGGAAATAAGCCTTCGGGCTTTCATGGGCAATTCGAGGTTATTGCACACTACTCTATACATGCTTCCACTTACGTCGTCACATTATAGTTAACTTGTAAATTGATATCTAGTCATAGGAAAGAAAGATTTTTATGTTTTGTGCTTTAGAAAAGTCAAATCGCAACTTTTCGGCCCTTTCCGTCAGTCTTCGGACTTTTCCGCCCTTTCCGTCAGATATTATCTATGATAGCCGAGTTGATCTGAGTGTAGAAAATCCGATCAGCGTGAAACAATCGGATTTATTTTAGATATCTTTAAAGATCACGCATTGGTCATGCAACTTCTTGTGTGGGTTTTGAGTTCATAAAAAGTCATATGTTATACAAACCTTATCACAAAGAACGTGTCTGAAGCAAACGGGGCCGCCATGACAGCCTGCATGGTGAAACGCTGCATAAGGTCGAACGAGTCCATCATATCAACTGTAAAAATGTAAAATAAAAAATATTAATCATGGCATAATCTGTTGTGTTAGTATGTTGAATTATTTATGCTTTATCTCTCGCAAAGGGGCAAAGGTTTAAAAACTCAGACAAAGAAATTATTATAGTTACTATTAAGGTTCATTGTTGTTAAACACAGAAAGAAATTATCAAAGTTACTATTACCTTTTTATAAATAACAATGGTTTTTTTTCAGTCGTGCATAATCAATTTAAATAACCTTAATACAATTTTCTTTTTCCAAAGTCTTTTATTATCTTTTTTTTTCAGATGTGTCTGAGTTGTTTTCAATTTCAGCGGCGCCTTTGCGGTTCTATGAAATTTACTACTATAAAGTTGTTTCCTTCCTATTAAATAAGATAGCTTATAGTGTATTTTTGTCCGGTGTCATCTTACGACATTTCCAACTTTAGTAGTTCATTTTGTTTAGTAAATTCTTCAATTTCTTCATGATCTTGCATTGTATGCATTACATGGGGGATTAAGTCATGAGTTATCTACCGTTCGAGCGGTTGGGAATTGTGACGTCAAAGTTGTGACGAATATTATATACCATCTCATCTACATCCATGACGTGTGAATGTAAAAGAAACAAGTTGCTGGCAACAAAATTATAAATGTACTTACAGGTTAAGATATTAAAATGGATTACCTGCTACTGGTACCTCGGACAGTGACTGAGCTACATACAGATATGTATTGCCAAGTACGATCCACAATATTGTCAGCACCCGTAGGCCGTATATACACGGAATGACGTCATCTTTTGTCTCGGGGTTGAGTATAGCAGGAATGTTCGTGAAGATTGAAAAACTTCGCATCCACTTTGAAAGTATACCTTAAAATAGAAATATTTTCAATACTTTGACTGTTTAAATACAAAAACAAGGGGGGAAATCCACAGGACAAAACTGTATATCCGGTAGAAGTTATATTGTTACCTTGGAAACATAACAGTACTTTCAAAATATTAAAAACCAACCGACTTCTGTCTAAAAAAAACTATAATTTCTGTAAAAATCTTTAAAATATCTTTACATATGTACATTGTACGCAAAGAAGTCTTTTGATAATATACTTCAGATTAAATAAAAATGAGATTTATAGAGAAGTGTTTCTATATCAATCTAAAAAAAAACCCCAACAATTTTGATATTTTTGTATCTTATATAATTATACGTGCAGAATGGAATCCTTATTTGAGAGATAATGCATTTTTGCCACCTTTGATACTCGAACCTCATAACATAACATAGAGTGGTTTCTTTCTGGTTTAGGATTGTTGAAATTATCAACTTAAATGTGTTCCTCTCACTGTTGTGGGTTCGAATCCCGCTAGTAATGTTGAACATGTGTTTATGTTATCAACCTAGCTTACATCTTTCTTTAGCCTGAAATAATGCACGGCGTGGCACCTCTAGTCTTCCTGTTGTATTGTATTGTATTGTGTATTGTATTGTATTATATTGTATTGTGTTGTGTTGTGTTGTGTCGTATTGTATTGTATTGTATTGTATTGTATTGTATTGTATTGTACTGTATTGTATTGTATTGTATTGTATTCACTGTTTAACTTATACATGTGGCTTAAAACCTGACAAAATTGGTTTGAGGTCCTGCAAACAAATGCAACTTTCTTGCTCAATTCACATGAAAATTCCCTATCCAAAATCATATTTAAAAACGATGAAAAATCAAGTGACTGTTCATAAACAACGGCCAGTAAATGGCTCATTTAAAGCTAAAATCCCCCATAGAATTTATGTTCGCCCTCACAGAATTAATTTTGATATTTGTATGTACATGTACAAAAATAACAGTCAAACTTACGTTCGTCAGAGATATCACTTTTGTCTATAATATTTTCGGTCAGGTCGCTATCAACTGATATATCAAGGACAGGTTTCTTTTTCTGTTTCCCTGGTCTGGTAAATTTCATATTCGACAGGTCTTTCATCTCCGTTTTAATGTCTCCAGTTTGAATAACGCTGATTTTATTATTATTTTCGGTCACATTTTCAGAATCGTTTCCGTCATTTTCGTTTTTCAGATCACCGGAAGTTGGCATATCGACGTAACCGTTGTTGTCGTTGAAACTAAGGTCAGATGGGGAGAATAAATCTCGTATGTTACCCTGTTTATGTCTGCGTTGAAGACAGAAGAGTTCAATTGTAGATGATACAATAACCAAAAGAACTAAAGCACCCAAGATAATTCTGCAAATAAAAAAAAAGATATATTTCATAGTATTAAATTTTCAACACGTACAAACATTAATACGCAAACGTCCACATTAAAGCTGCATGCCTCAAGATGAGCCAAACTATTAAAAGAAACTCATACTTATGGAAAAATGTTCGCAGATAATAAAAAGGGTAAAAAGATTCATGATTCGAGTAATAATTCATATGTTGTGTGCCATTAATGACTGATTTTGTATTATTCATCACCATATTTCTTCTGCGTGACTAACACAGTTTGATATATTGGTTGGTAATGTACATGTGGACTGTGTGTGTGTCCTAAACATTGTGTAAATTACTTTCGTTCTTTTTCACTTCGAATTAACAATATTTTGCTTTTAAATGCATGTTTTCAAATCAAAATTTTCATGAAAATAATTATGAATCTGAGGGAACGATTTTAACAATTTAATTTTCGTTTTTTGTACAACTTTTCAAGTATTACCAGTTTTGATACCATATGAATGTTGTTTATAAATAGAATGACCATTTATGACAATTTCTCGGACATAAATAGATCTATACAAGTACACAAAAAAAGACAAAAAAAGTTAAATAACACTTAATATCTTGTTCAAACCCTTGCTACAGAAGAAACAAGTATGACATCTTAATAAATGTATAAACATCAATGATAAACATGTCACATATCTAGAACATATTACAAAAGTAATTACTTATACAACAAAAGACATAATCTTTTCGTGATAATAAGAGTTTTCTGTCACCGACATTTACAAAAATGGAAGAGAAGAGTAAACAATAAATAAAAACGCATCATAGGGTTACAAGTGTATTGTTTTCTTCCAACAAAAGTACAATATTGTAATATTAGCATATGATTACACGAGTAATGTTGCATGTGTTATTTTTCATTTTATATCATAACACAAATAAGAAACTTTTTACATTCAGATTTCAAACACTCACATTATTGCATGAGCTTTGTCGTCTGTCTTAAAATGTTGATCCTCCGTGCAAATAGCTTGATCCACAGTCAGATTAAAGAGCGATCCCAGTAAACCTGTTCAAAAATATTATTATCATTATTATTATTATTATTATTATTATTATTATTATTATTATTATTATTATTATTACTTAAATGAAGCTAAGCACAAGAAGCGATTTACAAGGGAGACAACTTACGTACTGTTTCGAACATGGATAATCTTGAATTGTTTCACTCACATTTATTCGGACAAAATCATGATTTTTATGCATTGGCAATCGGAACATCGGTTATTTTTAATTTAACCCCGGAAATAAAAAATAAAAAGGATTTTAAAATTCACCACGAGACTAGATGTAATGAAAGAATGAAATACATGTAAAAATATTTGACATCAAAGGAAAAAAAATTTTCTTTTGGGGAAAAATTTTGGTGATTTAAAAATGTTGGCAATCAAAATATTAAAAAAATGTAAAACTGGTGACAAAATTTTATTACAAATCCGAATTTAAAAGGAAATTTTTTTGGTTTTTTTCGGTTTTTTGCAATTGTATAATAAAATATACGGCTTACTTTAATATCTATAAATTTACTTTGTTTAGGTGGATTTTTACTCCATATATTGGAATAAATATAGTCAACAACTCCGAACATTAAATTTATTTATTTATTATTAAAGTACGGAGGCAAAGTATGACCGCTTACACACCACACATAGTCAGAAGTTCACATTTCAACTATAGAAAGAAATAGAAGTAATACTTAAATAAATAGTTTATATTATTTTTTCTATACATACCCAGATTAAGTAGACCTTCTATATCGTCATGGTGACAGGAATCTGGCAGACATAACCCCACTGACAACGTCAACGGAACGCCATATGTATTCTGAAGAAAACAGCTGACTTTGTTATTTACAGTTAAAACATTGTACTGTTTGTATTATTTTTATCAAAACAATATTATTATTTTAGGTAGGAACTATAATACAAATTAAAAGCGTAATTTATTGAATAGATATGACCATTATTCCGTTTCAGTATGTGTATAAATAAATAGGGTTTTAGCTAAAAACAGCAAAAAAAAGGTCAAGCACTTTTTCTTTGTGGGTAATGTAATTGCTAACCGACTGTTTCTTATGATGTCCATACCCTAATATTAAAAGATAAATAAATAAAAAAGAGATTGTCAAGGTTGCAAATTTTTTTGTCAGCCCGAATTTTCTTTTAAAATTTTTAAAGGGGTTTTTTTTTCTTTTTTCTTCGTATAGTGTGAAGGGCTAAAAAAAACAATAATGCCAAAAAAACCCCGAAAACACATTCCATCATTTTCAAAAAGGTTTGAAAATTTTTTATTTTTCCAACAAAAGGCCCAATTTAAATTACGTTAATATTCCCCCGCAATTTCTTTTCCAAAGAGACTTTCTTTGGGGGGGGAACGTCGCTCGGCAGACTTCCCTTTTAAAAATTTTACCTTTGGTTTCCCCATGATACTCTCCCAAACGAGCCCCTTGACGGGATCACAGCCCCAAAAATTTTTACACTGGGCGTAGTCCCCAATTTAAAAAAAACTCCCCGGGCCCTTTCCAGTCGTTGGCTTCCCCAATTTCTCAAACACTTTTAAGTAAAAAAATTGTCACCTTATATATTTTCCATAACCCGTAAAGCTTAATTTTTGGGGAATTTTGTCAAAAAAAAAGTTTTCGTGGGGGTTTTTTAAAACGTTGACTTTTTATATTTTCCCAAAAAGGGAAAAAAGTAAAATTTAAGGATGTAAATTAACTTTCAGCAGCGAATTTTTGGAATTTTTTTGGTGTTAAATTCCGGGAAAAAAAAGAAAATTAAAAGGCCCCCCCAATATAATTTAAATTTTCAGTTTTCCCAAAAAAATATAAAGTTAAAAAATGTTTACCCAATTTTAAAAAGAAATACTTTTTTTGTAGGGTTTGGTTTGTATTCTAAATTAAATTTGCAATTTAAATTTTGTTTAGAATTTTTGCATGTTTTCATGACATTGCGGGACATTAATATAATTATTTTTAAAGAAAATACAAGAACCATGGGTTTTTTCCGGGTATATTTAAACCCAAAAGGCAATTTTGGAAACTAAATATAAGAAATATGATCCCGGTTTTATCCCTGGGTGGTCGGGAAACGGCATTACGTTTTTTTGGTTTTGACGCGGGTCAATTATTAAATGTTTAAAAAAAAATCTAAAAGTTTTCCCTTTTTTAAAAAAGTTTAAACGCTTCGTTTTTGGTATTTCTTTGGGTTTAAAAGAAAAACCCAATTTGGGTTTTTTCACCCGGTCAATACTTTCCCTCATGGGATGTTAAATTTAAAAAACCCCTCAAAAAGATTTTCAGTTGGTTATTAAAATAGGGAGTTTGTTTTCAAATGACTCTTTTGCACCCGCACGTAAACTATTTTTGTCTACCTCCGGGGCTGGGAGTAATCCCAAAGCAATAACCAGTCAATAGCCGATGTTTTGAAACACTTATCTCTTTGACTGACAGATTTTTATGTAGTTTTTGTTGACCGACAAATATAAATGTGAAAACACGAACTTTCTTATCTTTGCGGGGTGTATATATCAGCCATGTTTGTTGAAACGGTTATCATTTATTTTATTTTATTTATCTTTAAAACAAGATAAATCCTTTATCTACTTCTGTTAATCAAATAAACGAAATTGGACTAATGCGTACTGGAAAGTTAACCGCAATAAATCTAGATTGCTGGAGTTTTTAAAACGCCCTTAAAAAAGCAAAACACTGCCAAAAAATGCATCCCGCCTACTTTTTTTCCCTCATTGTAAATTTGTGGGGTTTTTTCAATTATAAACAGTTTAAATTAAAAAAACCAAAGTTTTTTTCTTTTTATCCATTTATAACAAACAATAAGGGCCATAGGGCCCCAAAAATTTTATTTATCAAATATTATTTATAATATTTAGGAGAAATTTAAAGCTTACTATCTAACCGTAACCCCCTTGATAGCTAATTTACCGCCAAAATTTTCTTTTTGGGTTACGACAAGGGCAGATACACGAACACGTATGAATATAAACTTGTATTTCACATAATAAAAAATATATCTCTTTGTCACTTTCACTGAATGCAATGTATAAAGATAATCTCTCCGTAAGTTTTGCTATACAGTTGTAATTTGTAATTTATGTAAACAAAAAATATTTTTTCGCTGTTTTAATGTCTTTTGTTTTTTTGATACATAAAAAAAAAAATTCCCAAAAATTTTTTGCCCAAACTAAACTTTCCCCGGCTTTTTTTTCTTATAAACCGAAGACTACGGGGGGCCAAAAAATTGCCCCATGACAATTTTTGTATATTAATAAAGTAAATTTTATGAATTTAAATGTTTATGTTTTTCACCGCCCTGTCATTATCTTTTGTATTTTGGGTTTTTGGACTATTTTAGTCCCCGTTTAAAATTGAAAAAAAAAATTTTAAAATATTAACTTAAAAATAAAGAAAGTTTTAACAACATGAAAAATCGTATAAAAATTTAAATTGGGATGTTACCCGTTGGTTTTCGATATTAAAAAGGGAAATTTTTAAAAATTTTCAGTTGACTACTTATCATATACTATTTATTATATGGAATATAAAGATTAAGAAAACAAACAACATGAAATCGTATTCGAACTGGAAACACTTTTGACAAATGTCCAATTTGATGACGGTCTAGACCAATAACCTTGTGCAAAAATTCAGATCATTCGCTCACTCTATTCAAATGAAAAATCACCTAAACTAAAAAGTGTTGCAACACTTTTCACTCATTATCGGACAAAGATTAGCATAAATACGATTTTCACATTTGAGCCGTGTCATGACAAAACCAACATAATGGGTTTGCGACCAGCATGGATCCAGACCAGTCTGCGCATCCGCGCAGTCTGATCAGGATCCATGCTGTTCGCTTTTAAACCTTTTAACAAGTAGAGAAACTGATAGCGAACAGCATGGATCCTGATCAGACTGTGCGGATGCGCAGGCTGGTCTGGATCCATGCCGGTCGCAAACGCACTATGTTGGTTTTGTCGTGACGCGGCTCATTTATTTCTGAGTATATTTCTAAACGATCTTTTGTATATTTTCCTGTTTTAAGTGCCTTAGTTGATTTGTGTAAGAAATTCAAATTCAGTTTTTTTAGGCTTTTGGACCTCAGTGGAGTTCCTTTAAAGGGAAACCTCATGTATCTACTAACTTTATTTGAGAACTTTTTAAAAATAGCTTGTATTGTTAAAACAATCAGTAACGAGTATGAATACATCATCACACGAGAAGGACGAAAAAAGGTTGTGCGATGAAGCAGACTTTAAAAGACAGTGAAAATATTGTGCGATGAAATACGTGTTTGAATATCACCAAGGTTATATGCTAGCGCCATACACTTTAATGTTTAAGCAGCCATTGATAATATGGATTTGAGTCCGCCACGTTTATAAAAAGACGTAAATTGTATGCAAAAGAAATTTCTTGTGGATTAATGCTAAAAGGTCTTTAAACCCTTCGATTTTTGCGACCTTGCCTCAGGAGACTTGAAATGACCACAAGAACCGGAAATTACGTCATAAATTAACCCAAAGGTACAATAACAAACCACAATTTTGATTGAATGTGGTCTCTGAATCATAAAATTTCAGGTTCGGGTGAAACCACTTCCAGTCGTTATAAAGATCGCCCCAAATGAGTTGTCGATCCAGACGGTAAAGAAACAATGCACGAGATTTTCTAAAATGCCTTGAGTATAGCCACAATGATACAAATTTATGAAACAAAAAAGTCATAGGATGGAACGGAAAAAATGAAGGGAACTGTAATTTAAACCTTGTCAGACGGTATGAATGACCTTATTTTGACTCAGTTTTTCAGATAAGAAAATATGGGGTGATATTTACTATTTTTAAATATGTGTTACGCTCCCTTATCAACAGACCCCGTTAAAAACGAAATACTTGCGTCATTTTGCACTCTCTAGTTGTAACACGTTTGTAACCTCTATGATGTTTAAGGCCTATTTTTTTGTTTGTTGTTGTTGTTGTTTTTTCAGGGGGATAGGGGTTGGGGTAGGCGAGATGTTTGTATGTAATATATTTTCTTAATATTTAACCTAAAATTTCATAAAAATATCTTCTTGAAGATAATAAAACGGCAATTGTGTAAAAAGCATGAGTAAATTGATAAATTGATGAATACATACTGTCAAACGCCCATGTATCTCCTTGAAACAGACGGTCAAAAAACATCATAGTGTCGTCGTAGCACTGTTCGTTTAGCTGTCTGTCCGTGCTGTTATAAGGAAAATAGTCCGCCGCGCTCTTCATCTGCAATATATCTACGCCCATTCCGTAATAGTCTAGTACAGATAGAAGATGAGAAATGTAGAAGTCTAAATCTGCCGACAGTTCACCAGACCTGAGGTACCAGTCACTGGACTCATTATGGGCATTTAACTCTTCAATGAATATTTTCATTACTCCCCTGAATACGTCGTTTTCCAGCACATCCGGCAAATGATTCAATGCCCAAGGTAACACTTTACCAACAAAATTACCGGGTGGTTTGTCGTAGACGAGTAAAGGCAGAGCAGCTACGAGTGACCTCTCAAGGTCGTCGTAATAAACCGGGTTGTCCATTAAAAACTGAGCGATGAAGAGTAATTTGTCTCTTGTAGACATGCTTTTCAGAATGCCCATTATCATTGATGTATCGAATTGTGACTCCGCTTGTGGAACGTTAGAGAGCAACACACAAAAACACAAAGCCAGCAGTGCTCCTCGTGGCACAGTCATTGTCATCCTCAATGTGCCGATTTTGTTCTTTTTCTATTTTCCTTCACAAATATCCCTTAGTATATTTCCTTACCAGAGTGCTATTATAATGCTTAAACCGAGGCAAAGACGTCAATACATAGTTTGTGTCGCACAATTATGCCCTGAAGAAATACTTAAAATATCAGAATTGTCAAAATAAAAAAAAAGTTAGTTCTAAATCCACAATGTATCTGAGATAATTCAAAGACCAAAAAATATTTATAGAAACAAAAAAGAAATATCCGTGCTTCTTTTACACTGACTACTGCATAAATGGGACAGTCTACGCAAGCGGCTTGTAATCATTTTTTGATAAGTAGTCAAAATTAAGCGAGAACAATTTTTTCAGTTGTAAAACTAGGTTGAGCAAAGTTTTGAATGAAAGAGATTTTTATCATTTCGTATCAGTTTAACTAAACATATCTAATTCGTTTATCAGGGATTTGACTCAATATAGAGGGTACAATTTTTCCAACGCTCTTAAACAAAACAAAAAAAAATGGCGTGATAAATTAAAGTTTAACTTAATTATCAACACAGTTCATTTGAGGACGCTCATTTTTGTAATATATTTTACACCTTGTAGCACTGAAGTAATAATTTGTTTCAACATATTTATTTAAGCTCGATTGAGAAACAAGTTCTTGCAACTTATATTAATCACTTTCGTGTCCGCTGGTGTTATATGAAGAAACATGATCGTGACCCGAGTAGGGCTCAACCCTTGGGTTGAGAGGCAGACACCTTAACCACTTAACCACTAGGCCAGCCCCTTCCCCCCCTTTGAAGTAATAATTAAAACCATAAGACATAATAAACAATCAATTTGGCATTTTTTTTATTCCTGAGTTCCCTTTTAACCTCTCGCTGTTCTTTTTCACTTAATCTAAACTTATTATTTATTTAGTTATATATTATTATTTTATTTTCATTTATTTCTATTTTCTTTTGTGGTGGGTGTGTGTGTGTGGGGGGGGGGGGTGAACGGTTTAATTGTTCTGTAACGAAGAATTCCATCCTACGTACTTATACAGATTGCGTAGATTGCTTTAGCATCTTTTATCCTTAAGGTGACAGTCTGGATTATTTTTGGCATTCGGTCAAGCACGTTAAGCAAACCATTGCGGTTTTTTTGGAACAAATCTTAGACAAGGAAAGAAAGCATTCAGTAAAACAAACCTCTAATGATTTAATAGAAATCCTCATAAATTATGTACATGCGCGTGTGTGTGTGTGTGTGGCATTAAATAAGATCTGAGTTAAAGCGACATGCAGATGATATTTTCTTGAAAAAATTAAAAATGTATTTAAAAGCAATATATTGTAAAGTAACCAAAAGCAATTTACACATTATCAATGGCACTTGCAACCAACGTAAATTATCAAAAAGATGTTACAATATGCAAAAAATAACCCTTAATGCGTTAGTAACGCAGTAGAATTATTGTTACTTAACTTAAAAATTAGTCATTAATCGCACAAAACACGTAAATTATTATTTTAATCTTGAATCGTTTTCCTTTTTCTAAAATATTAGTATATTTATCTCAAGTTTAATTTTATTGACATACTTTGGCTTATCTGGAAATTTGCTGCTTTTAAAACAGCCCCCAAATATATATTAATCAAATAGTAAAAAGAAAATAAAAAAATATGTGTCCTCTAGTTTTTATTTAGAACAGTTAGGATTTGATACATTTTGAATTATTGTTTCTTATTTGCGTTACAATATCAATTATTTACAGTTTTTTATTTTCGAAACACATGCAAACATTCTATCTTTTGCATATCATGTCCGAAACAAGGAATAAAAAACCGATTCTAAACGGAAATTAATAAAGCACATTTAAGCAGTAATTTTTTTATAAAAAAAAAGATAAACAGAGGATATTGAATGCACGGTGGAGCATTAGTGCCAGGGGTATGTTTTTTATTAACTCGAAATTTCGAGTTACTAACTCGAAATTTCGAGTTACTAAGTCGAAATTTCGACTTATTAACTCGAAATTTTGAGTTACTTATCTCAAAATTTCGAGTTAGTAACACGAAATTTCGACTTAGTAACTCGAAATTTCGACTTACATTGCACGACTTTCATTGGTTTCGACATACTAACTCGAATTTTCGAGATAATCTCGAAACAATTAACTCTGAATTTCGACTAACTAACCCGAAATTTCGACTTATTAACAAGAAATTTCGACATACTAACTCGAAGCTTTGAGTTACTTATCTCGAAATTTCGACTTAGTAACTCGAAATTTCACGACTTAGTAACTCGAAATTTTGACTTATTTACATTACTAGAATGGTCAAAGTTATTAGTTAGATAATATAAGATATAGTAGGGAGTGCCGTTGAACGATGGAGATGGAGAAACGGGGCGCTGGACAAACTATTGAAATTAAACTTAAACTTAGTAATGGCATGTACACACCCGACCTAAAAACACAAGGCTTCCTTTAATTTGTACGATCAGGCGTTCTTCAGACGTTGTATTGTATCCCACCTGTTCGAACATATCTTTTCACTTATCATATTCTTCTCATCCCTGTGAATAAAATGATCCTATACTTCACGTGTGGGACATCTGAGGAAAGTATCGCGGAGTGGCCAAAATAGGGCGTGCTGAGGCCTTTGTCAAATTTGTTGGACTGACTATATTTCTTGTAAAATCGGATGCTTTTATATTATTCCCAACATATATATAACAAGTTCCACTTTTATCAAATTTTATTAACACAATATGAATCAAAGTTTGAGTAAATAATGAATAATGTTACAAAAACATTATTAGTATAAAGAAACGTGACAAACTAACTGGCGTATACATGCTATTTAAAACTTATTTTACACATGAATATTGCACAGTTTACAATAGGGTGGGTTTTGGACTTGTTCTTTCTCCACATGATGGTTGTATGTGTGCTTAAGAATAAGAAACATCTGGTTAACACGGAAGTGTGGAAAATGTAATTTTACACCCCCGCCCCCCTCCCTCCACAAAAAAGCAAAGGATATGTTCAGTATGTGTAGATAATTTGACCCTATTAAATTGTTATGTTCTGTTAAATAAATGTTTAAGGTGTCCTGTCAAAATGCAACAGCTACACACGAAAGAAAGTATCTTGAATTCAATCCTTGCTTTCACCGGCAACCAATGAAAGTCGTGCAATGTAAGTCGAAAATTTCGAGTTACTAAGTCGAAATTTCGAGTTAGTAAGTCGAAATTTCGACTTAGTAACTCGACATTTCGAGAAAAGTTACATCGAAATTTTGAGTTAATAAAAAAAATACACCTGGCACTAATGCTCCTCCGTAGGTATGTGATAAATGGTTTTGTTACAGGTACTCCTAGGATGTTATGAAAGTTTACCTGACCGGAAGTGGAACAGTCATTTGTATTGTTATTTACCTGAATATAGATGAAATAATTGTGACTAATCAAAAACATAGTTACTGTGAGCATGTTTGCTAAATCGCAATTGTACACAAGAACTATATAGCTCTAGTCAGTAGTACTTCTGTTTGGTGCCGTCCGGTTAGCTCCATATAGGTAAAGCGTTTGATTGTGAATCGGGCGGCCCGGGTTCGATTCCTGAACAGTTCAAGTAACTTTCGTTGTGATTGATCATGAAATCTTTTTTATTCTCATTCGCAGGTACCTCTGCTCTGGCATGGACAGAAGCTATCAGTTCCTTGCGAAAGTGAACGCAACTATATCATGTATATAGTACGGGGAAACAGCTTGACAGTCTGCCCAGGATGAATGTGGAGGCTGAACTGTGCACTTGAAAATTCAATAACTACAAATACCACAGCCTCTGTTCGTGCACGTCTTTAAAAAATGTACACACTATGTATATGAAGTTGTGTTCCATATCACGGGTCAAGAAAAGTTGGTCCTTTCTAAAAGAAAAAAAAAGAATAAAATGCCAGAATTTTTGAATGACACTTTATATTCATATTGTGGCCTTCAATAGAAGAATTTAAAACATAACATATAGATCTACTTTGTGTGAAGTCGAAACATGTTGACTTTATATCTAGTACAAAGAAACAGTGTAGCAATTTTCAATACTTTTAAATATCAAATTTAATATACATGTATTTTTGAATGAGTAAATTTTTGAAGAATTAAACCATCTAGTTTTTTTACCCACATGATATTTTTTCAGACATTCTATTCTACAGGCAATATAATTCTCACACGGAAAGTAACACACAATGAACTGTAAATGACTGTACGCGAACAACATAGAATGTGGCGGTCACGTTATTTTCAAGATTTGACTCATGTTTGAGTCGTGAACTCAATGTATCGCAGTACCTCAATGTCACGTAAGTTTACTCAAACAAAAGATCACTGATAATCAAAGACTTAACCCCAAGGCCAGGGACAGGCCCTTTTTTCATTATCTTGGTAGTTTTGAACAAGTAAACACACTACAACGCTGGTATCTGATAAGTTATGTACAGATAAAGTACTTGCGGTTTTGTTGTACCATGTACTAATTCATTACTTATAAAACCGAGATGGATTTATTCACACTCTTCATACGTTCACGAGTCCTCACAATCACACAGCCCCACCAAAACGGCTACTAATAAATATGATTACTGATAAGTGATACACAATCAATGGTAAAAACGTATAGGATGCGTTAAAGGGCCCAACTGCGGTTTTTTCTCTGTCATGACATGACTGGAAGTATTTTGTCATATACAAAATGGTACACTATTTTATGCTCACGTACAAAACAAGAATTAAAAAAATATAGCTACCGAGTGTGAACCGTCCGGTTAACTCCATAGGTAAAGCGTTGAACTGTGAATCGGGCGATCCGAACGGTGCAGGTCACTTTCGTTGTGATTTATCATAAAAAATTTTGTCTACGGTCATTTGCACTGTACCTTTTCTCTGACATGTACAGAAATCATCAGTCCCTTGCAAAAGTGAAGGCAACTGGTACGTATACTGGTAAACTGCTTGACAGCCAGAGTATGGAGGCTACTCGTTGCCAAAAATCCAGCATTGTTGATCTGAGTTAAACAGTTTGTTTACGGACAAAATACAATAATATTTCTTTGTATGTAAACTCCAATGTTGCATTCTTGTATTGAGTTTGCCGATTTAACATGATTGTAAACATGTATTTCAACAAAATACATTTTGTTACACGACAAAACATTAACTGGTTTTCTGAGAGTAGCAATACCAAATGTTCATCTAGCATACGGATTACTCATTGTTCGTGTACGTGTATATCCGACAAAACAGAAATTACTGTTTTAGCTTCACATTGTCAAATCATCATGATTCGGATCACCATAATCCAGCCGTACACGATTTGCAAACCAGCGACTCACGTCTGAATAGTCGTGTACCTGGTGCACCTGCATGCAAGCAAGCAATATTCCAGCTTGCTGCCGTTCATCATCCATGGTCTTAAAGGACATTTACGTGTAAATACCGTGAAAACCCTCTATTGTGACCACAAAAGGGACTGGACTTTAGTGGTCTTAATTGTAAGTGGTCTTAATTGTGGATATGATTATCAAGACATATATATTTCATGACCACTCTTCTTTAATTTTTATATTTAAAAATGTTTGAACAATTATATTATAACCTTCAAATATTACTATAAACTGATATTATACGTTATTCACTTTTAATTAAGAAAATAATTCTTCACAAAATAAATGTGCAGTAAATAACATTAAACCGCTCGAAAGTTTATTTTCTCACTTTTATAAATTTTCAAGCATAACAGTTTTCACATCTTGTTTCAGCAAGTGGCATGTTTTAAAGAATTAAAGCAGATCTGAATAGGTATTGACTGGAATATCAGCTGTCTCAATAGCAGGGTAGGATAAGTAAAACAATGAATTGGGACTGAAACTGATGATCTTAAAAGTGGATATGTGGGATGTCTTAATTGTGGATCATGTAAGCATTAACATAAGGAACAAACAATTCCGTTCTTTTAAAAATTCATCTAAATAGAGGTGTGATCTTAAGTAAGGATTCTACTGTACTGTATTCTGCAATTTCAGATGAACGCAGTAGAATCGCTTTGAGAGCGCAATTGCCGCGAAGTAGAAAAAATATAGTTCCGTAAAAGCGCCATACCTACGCAGTATAAGCGCTAGAGACGCCGTACAATTTCCGTACAAGCGCCGTGGCTAATCCCGGCGTTCATTCGGCGATCCTTCTGCGCTCTCATGCGCGCTCCTGTAGCGTTGCAGGAGATGCTACTGAGTTGCTACGGCGTCCTTACTGCGATCCCACAGCGCTTTTATCAGAACGCCGAGTGACGGCGTTTGTTATGAGCATGCTCAAAATGCGCGCCGTCGGTCGGCGTTCTTTGCAATGCCGCTTCGATGCTGTTGCGATGTTTGCGATCTTACTGCGCTAACCTCGGCGTTCTGGATTTTCGTTGGACGCCGTGAGAACGCCGCCCTAGTGTGACAGGGGTTTAAGAGGTAAATAAGCTCCGCATAATTCCCTATGTCATCGTAAATAAACATATATATCACGTTTCAGCATTTACCGACTGGTTCTCCTTCAGCAGTCTGAGATCACGAGGAAGTAAGGAGGCAAGAACACGCACCAGTGTCTTTTAGGCCTTTTAGGTGTTTGCAAATCATGACATTATTTATCAATCATAATTCACTTGCATGACTGCAATTTTATGCTTTTATTCAATCAACATCAGCGGACTTTTAATTATTATAGGCCTATGCGTTCTGAAACGTTGTAGATACTAATACCCCATTTCCGTAATAAAATTATGAAAATGTCCGACGATTATCAGTTTGACTTCCTGTAAAATAAAATTATTTTTATTGGTCATTTTGCAATTACAAACAGAAATCGGTCTCATTGGTCTATCTAAAATAACCATTCTAAAGTAAAATGTTAAGGATAATTCTTACCATTCTAAAATAAAATTTAAAGGATAGCTCTAAGATAAAATGTAAGGCATAGTTTTGCCACTATAAAATGAAATGTAAAGGATAGTACTAAATTAAAGTATACAGGAATAAGGATAGTATTTTAAAAACCTTTTTTGGTTACTTTGCAAATGATTACAAATTTTATAAAGTCAAACGTAACACAAGTAAAAGAGACATCCTAAATAGAAGTTGTCTTACTTCATCAATATCAATATGCTATAATTTAACTTCAGTACAGTATTCTCTTTGCCACAAGAAATAATTATCATGCCATGATTGTTGTGCAAGATTGCTGCAGTAACATTTTTTTATATCAAAGACTTAGAAGTAACATTACTTTGCTTGTTAACCAGTATTACTCCGGCCGAGTATCTTTTTTGAAATAAGTATTTATAGAAAGTAAAGGGATTGTATCTTATCGTTTGCAGTCATTACTTCCCTTGGAGTGTACTCACTGCCATAACTGAGATTTGCTCAACCATAATGTAGTAAATCCTGTGGTGGCTGCTTTGTGCCGTATGCCAGCCCGCATAGCTCAATCGGTTAGAGCGCGAAACTTGTAATCTCGACATTGCGGGTTCGATTCCCTGGCTGGCCAACTAAAACTACTAATCAGTCTTTCGGATGAGACTTTAAATCGAGGTCCCGTGTATGAGTGCTTAAACACTTGGCATGTTAAAGATCCAGGGGGAGCTCCTGGAATTGGGGCATCTTTCTGTCTGTATCTTGCACTATCCTCCAAAATATAAAAGGACAAATACACTTCTGGGGGACTCGCCCATATGGGCAAGCGGTGGCGAGTATAAATTAACTCAAACACACAAAGCTTTGTGCCATTCGTGTTTTCGACCCGCGACCCCGCCAAGCGAAAAGTCGAGAATTAACAATTTAAAATGGCGGGGACGCGGAGCGAAAAGTCGCTAATTAGCGGGGGCGCAGTTTAATAGATAAAACTTCGCCCCGCGGGGGGATGGGGGGGGGGGCGAGATTTAAGAAATAAAACACGCATGAAACGGGCTCTGTTATAATGTTTAAAGGCACGTTATTCCTCAGAAACGAGCTTTTTCTTTAGAAAGGGCAACTATGAGTTTTATTATGTTTAAATAATGGTTTAAAAGCATGCTATATGCTTGTTACTTGGGACATAATGTACTCAATGTGAAGTAATTTGTCATAATTTCCGGGTTATAATAGGCCTTTAGCAAAATCATACGCATGTAGTAGATAAGTTAAATACTTGGTTTTCCTTTAATTTCTTAAAATATTTCAGAAATATATTAAGCATTACAAATAATCTGCATCAGATTATTGAAGATGGTGTTTAAAGCAGAGTAGCTGTGCAGGTCGAACACGTGGTGGTTGTCCGTGGCAATGGCTTGGATCTCCTGGGCATTGATACCTGAATAAAACAAACAACATTGACCTCCCTTGTCTCTAATCAACACTTGCAAACAAAGAACGGATTCGATAGTGGTTTAATAAGCTGATAGCTTCCAACACAACCGAAATAAAATAAATTATTACATAAACTAATAGTTGCAAATTTGAAAATGATATTAGTTGGCATAGTTAATTACTTGTCATAATTACAATGGTTTGTCTTTAATCAGATTAAAAGAAGGACACTTTTAAAAATCCGTTTACAATGATGTAACCATACCAATATGGAACGGACTTTAGCTATACCGGAAGTTTTATACCGGAAGTTAATAATAATGAAAGTCTTTGAAGATTTGATTGATGATTCTGTCATTGGCTATTAACAGGGTCGCATTCTCTCTATAAAATATAACTTAACGTTTTACAAAGTGTTTATCGTTTGTGTGTAGCAGTTTTCCTGTCAATGTGCCAGCAGATTTGTAAGCGGAACTATGGAACGCCATAGCTGCCTTATGTTGTTACATTTCTTTTTATCTTGCCTAGAAAGCGTCTTTTTATGTTAGATATTAGTGTTGTGTTGCCATAATGTGATGTTGACTTGTCGTAACATTGTTAACTTATTTCAAACAGTAGTGTTACCATGTCAAATTGGCGTTTTGGCTTGTCTGAAATGCGTCATATTATGTCAACTAGTCGCGCTATTTGGTCAAATTGTGGAGCTGTTTTGTCAAAAGACTGTCTGATCATTTGAAACAGTAGTGTTCTCTTGTCGAAATTTGGTGCTGACTTGGCAAAGCACAGCTTTATTTCATCAAACTGCTATGTTATTTTGTCAAAATACGGTGTTTAAATACCTTAACATTGTCTTATTGTGTCAAACAGAAGTGTTTATTAGCCAACGTTCACTACTGAATTGTCTTATTATATCAAATATTCGCATTACCTTGCCGAAATTGGGTGTTGATTGAACTAAATCATGCCTTATTATGATAAACTGTATGCTATTTTGTTAAAAAGCAGTCTTAATATGTCAAAAGTTGCGGTATCTTGTCGAAATGTGGTAATGACTTGTCATAACTCTTTCTTATAATGTAAAACAGAAGTGCTATATTGTCAAAATTTATTGTTTTCTTGTAAAAAACAAAAACTGTCTTATTATGTCTAATAATTGTGTTACTAGTATTTTGTTCAAATTTAGTTTTGTCTTGAGAACGCGCTGTTTGATTTTGTTAAACCGCACGTTATCTTTTGTGCTTTATCTTTTCACGCTCCGCGCGGGCTCTGGTCACGTGATACTAAATTTGGACAACATCGCATCTGGACAGGATAACACGATTATCTGACATAATAAGACGGGAGTTAGACAATGTAACGTAATAAATTGGCAAGTCAACGCCACTGTTTTACATAATAATACTGTGTTTTAACAAGTAAACACCACATTTGAAAAGGAAAAAATGAAACTTCGCCATAAAAGGACGATGTTTAGTCTAATTAACACTGAAACTTGACAAAATAAAATGACACTTTGACAAAAAGGTTGTAATTTTAGACAGGTCATCACCACGTTTCGACAAGATAATATTACTATTTGACATAATAAGACGAATCTAGACAAGTTAAATCTGTATTTGGACATAATAGCGTGACAGTTTGACATACTAAAATAGCGTTTTAACAGTTAATAACCATAATTTGTAAAAATACCACCATTATTTCACATAATAAGACGGTGTGTAGGCAGGTTAGCATAAAGTTTGGATAAAACAGCATGGCAATGTGAGAAAAAAAGGCCGTGTTTAGACAAGTCAATACCATCTTTTGACAGGTCAACAATACTGTTTGACATAATAAAATAACGTTTACACAAACAAACATAATGTATTGGCATGCCAACACTAGTATTTCACATAATAAGTGTGTTTTTAGACAGGATAACAACAGTTTTAGACAAGACATCATGAATTTTTGGCACAATAAAACAGAATAACACCAACTCGTACAAAGCAACATAACAATTTGACAAAACAGGACAATACTCAGACAAGCCAATATAAATGATAAAGATATCACTGCTAGCTGACATGATAAGACATGAGTTTGACAAGTTGGCACCAAGTTCCGACAAGATAACACAACTGTTTCACATAATAAGACAATTTCTAGACAATTTACCAACACAGTTGGACAAGACAGCATTCTATTTTGACATAAAAGACATTCTTTAGGCAAGATAAACGCCGAATTTGAACATAATGTCATGGCAGTATGACAAAATGTGACGGTGTTTAGACAAGTCAATACCACATTTGGACAAGACAAAACGACGGTATAACATAACACAACAGTGTCATAACAAACCAGGATTATATTTGGACAAGATGACACCAAGTTTCGACAAGATTACACTTCTGTTTCACATAATAAGACAATTTGAAGACATTTCAACACCACATTTAGCAAGGCAGTGTTTACACATGTTGAAATCTTAATTTGAAAAGATGGCGTGCATGTTAGACATATTAAGACTTTCATTTGGGCATGTTAACACCTGATTTGGACATGATAACATGACGTTTTGAAATAACAAGACTGTGTTTAGACAAGTCAGCACTACGTTTTGACAAGATAACACGAATATTTGACCTAATAAGACTTCGTTAAGACAGTTTCTCATAAAACGATGGCAAGCCAACACCACTATTATACATAATAAGACGCTTTTCGGGGAAAATAATGCGAAATGTAACAACATGAGGCAGCTATGGCGTTCCATACGGAACTGACATAAATGTCTTTTGATTATACATGTATTTGGTGTTAGACATTTTCTTTAAAGGTTCAAATCCATTCTGGTTCTTTGTCTTGGCTTAACGAGCCTTTAAGCAATGTTAAATGTTCGGCAAAATGCATGTTTACAAATAGCTGACTTCTTGTTGACGTCATTGGCATTATAGTATGTAAATCTTTCAAGTCGTAATATTTTTTAAAATACTGCTATAAAAGGGTTAATATTATTTTGGAATGGTGCTTTTTAGATTATTTTTAATTTATATCTAACCATTGAATAACTTAACAACCTTTTTTGCGTCAATTTTGACATTAATGGATTGAAGGAAAAACGTTTTCAAGATCCGTATTATTTACTTCTAATTACTTAGTGCCTGAACTTATACATTGTTTAACTGTCAAAAACGAATAAAAGATTTACTTATGTGACATCGTACTTTTAACAATAACAAAGATAGAATTCAAATGTGTACTTTGAACTATATATTATTTTGTAATTATTGTAATGTTTGTTACCTGAACCAATGGCAATACTGATGACGTCATCACTTATCGCGTGCAGTTTCTGCGCTTCCTTTATTGTGCTGACTTTATCATTTGATTGGCCATCTGTTATTACGATCACGACATTTTTGGCCATCGGTCGATCACCATGTGTCGGGACGAGCACGGAATATTCAACAGCACTAAGTGCTTGGTTGGTATGCGTCGTGCCTCCTGAGTAAGATATGTTGTTGTTTATAGCATGTAGAAGGGCAGGTTTTGTTGAATATTTATTCAGGAACCAGTTCACCTGAAATGAATCAATTCTTTCTTTCTGTCAAAATAAACCACCCACATTCAATGCATGCTCTACAATGTAGTTCATAATTTCTGTACTGCCCAAAGTTGTTCCCTGAATGTGCTTTACTAATTTTTAAAACGAATGCCTTGATACAATAAAGGTTTATTTACATTCTGAGAAATCGAAAACATTTGGCTTCATATTGTACCATAGCTTAACCTGTAACTATAGCGACCTACCCACGTGTTAATTCCACTGTAGTTTTTATTTGTTTGGGTCGTCAGACCAAACAAATAATGGTAGCGAAATTTCAGAGTCTAATGCTGTTAATTGCAAATGCCGAAAGTAGTCCACTTTTTTGAAGCGGTTACTTCCCTTTATATGTACACTAACCCCGAAAAATTCAGGGGGGGGGGGGTCACTGCGTAAAGATGGTCAAAGACAGGCACATTAATTTTCAAGCAAAATAATTCCCGAATGGTCGAAGATTTCTAATATTGTTTTATTGTATTTTCTGATCGAAAATGAGTAAATACAAAGCGTAAATTCAATCTCTGACACAGAAGTTTAAGACAAACCTAAGAACAAGTAGTTCTCAAAACAGCTTTAAACTAGCGATTTGAAAGAAAGAAATATTTTTATTTTGTTTACAAGTATCCAACAAATTACAACGCATTCAAAGTTTAAAAATAGCGATGGCTTATAGAATTGTCAATAAATGCACAATCACAAATTACGCGGATGAATATGATTTTATCAATGAAAATACTATTTTTAGCGATGTCGATTACCGATACTACACAAACCGAGTAGTGGAATATAATTATAGATTCTACATGTCGGACTGTTTGAGTGAGAAGATTTTCGCTAAATTATTAACTTCAATTTTAAACAATAGGTTTATCCTGAACAAAATACCTCGAAATTAATAAGGATTACAAACCCGAAATGCAATGGAAGTTCTAAATTTAGAATGACTTGATGTTATTGAGACATTGTTTGTATAACTTCTCCGTGGTGCAGGGGTAACGCGCTCGCTTAGTGACTGACAGGTCTGTAGTTTAAATCCCAGTCGAGGAAACTTTTTTTTTAATTCTTTTTTAAGTGTCTTTGTTAAGGAAGTAGCCATGATATGCAAGGATAAAGTGTGGTTGTCGTAAAAAATGAACATAAATGATTTTTTGATGCAACTCTAATTATGCAGAATTCCGTATGTATCAAACTCTGGTGCCTTGCAAAATGAATTACAATGTATAATTCATAAAAATAAACTTATACAGGAAAATACATACAGATATACAGTACGATTTAGATTGCAAAGATCAGAAAATACCACAGAACTTGCAGCCCTTTGATTCTTTATAAATATACATGCTTATAGTACTAAGCTCCAGGATTATTTACATCTGTGTTAAATAACAGTTAAAGTCGTTACAAGCCCTAATTTAGATCGATTAATATGGTTTTCTTCAGGCCGTTCACATATAAATTCACCGTGGCTGAAGGGTTTTCGCGCTCGCTTAGGAAGCGAGAGGTATGGAGTTCAAATCCCAGTAAATGCAACTCATTTTTTTTTCAGATTGTTTAAGTCAAATAAACATTGGATTGAATATCAGTCTTGAAATTAGTCTTATAGTCAATTTACTACAATTATAACGCTGGAAAGCATTGGTGGCACTATACATATAATCTTACAACCTGTGCCTTTCTTACATTCTGAGACCCAAACAAATTCAGCGCCTTCTGTGCTTTGATTTTTGTATTTTAGCCGATATGGAAATTAACGACACCTCCTTATAATAATTGGGGTGGCTTCAGTTAAAGCTAAGCTACAGCGTTTATATCCGAGCTTACGGAATAGACTATATATTCACTGTTACGTTTTCATTTTAAGTTTTTACTTCTATATCAAATTCCGTAGAGTGAATTGGTCTATAATGGAAGTTCTACAATAAAATGAATAATTAAACAGCAGATACATTACCCATTATTGCATGTATTAAATAGCATGTAATAAAATGTTCTAAAACACAATATTATTATTCCTGAGATGAATGTTCATTTTAAGTCACTTAGAAGTCATGATCAGTCAACATTTTATTTTCAAACAAGTTTTTTATAAGAATATGCAAATGATCTATTTCTTTTGTTTTTATCAATATTTGAAAAAGAAATTATGGAAAGTGTGCTCATTGTAGACTAAGAAACGGATATTGACAAGTGAGGAAAACGGGCAAATTCATTTTACAAATTCAGGCTAAAAGTTCAATAAGAATCCCACTCTCTGTGTAATTCAGAGCAAAGGCTACTTACATTTGTATGTGAGCTGAATGTAACCACGGAAACCTGTGCTTTTGTTGGTCCAATATCAAGCTGGTTTACGATTGTTCTTATGAAGTCAATAGCATGTTTAAAGTTCGAAGATCCAACGCTACCGGAAGCATCCAAAACAAACACAATGTCACGGTTACAACCTTAAACGGAAAACAATCGGCCCTGAATATAATTATTCTGAATGAAATTAATCATTTGAGCCGTGCCATGACAAAACCAACATAATGGGTTTGAAACCAGCATGGATCCAGACAAGCCTGCGCATCCGTGCAGTCTGATCAGGATCCATGCTGTTCGCTTACAAACCCTATTACAAGTAGAGAAACTGATAGCTAACAGCATGGATCCTGATCAGACTGCGCGGAGGCGCAGGCTGGTCTGGATCCATGCTGGTCGCAAACCCATTATGTTGGTTTTATCATGACGCGGCTCAATTTTTCTAAATATACTAGTAATAAAGTGTGCTTGAATAAGGTCAAAGGTTTCTAATGACTTCAGCTGGTTTGTTTTTCGTGTGCAAAATGGTTCGATTTATTAAGCATTGAGAGATAAAACCGAGACAATACCACTAAACATTGAAGAACAATCTTAATTAACTGTTGCATTATATTTAGTATTGTAAACTGTTCATTTATGTGTTTTTTTTCTGTACAAATCAAAGCTTTGCTCTTTTCTGTTCTTTAAACGTATAACACTGGGTAATGTTCGTTGGCCGCTGACAGTAAACAAAAACAGTCACTGCTACAATAATAGAGCTGGTAAACCTACTTTTTTTCAAACTAAATAAGGGGGGTAAATATGGAGAAAATTTTTAACGTTTGAACATTGAAATGGAGGATTTTAACTATATAACTTATGGAATGTTCACACCTTTCGTTATAGAAATCTATAGAAGTAACACGTTATTTGTACAACGGGGTATAAAAGAACATACATAAGTCACCTCTTGAAAACTACATATATTGCCATGAACAATATGGTACAAACAAAACAGAAGGAGATAATGTATTCATTTGAACAAATAAATCTCGCTATATCATAGAATTAGTGCCGAAGAGTGATACAAATATAAGCATAGAAGAACAAGAATTGTTTCAGGTATTGTTTTTTCCAATCCACATATGGATAGCAATGTTAACATAGCAGAATTTGTTATTTGAAAATCCACATATGAACTACAACAGTCTGGTTAAGACTGATAATCCCATATGTATCAAGGTTACATAATTTAAGAAATATAATTATAATGTTATATCTTGTATTCATTTTATATTTACATTCGATGATATATATATATATATAAAGTCAACGGACGCCTAAGTATTGTCCTAGATTACTTGAAAAAAATACAAAATATTTGTGTGGTTTTTTTTATAATAAAGATAAAACCAAAACAAATAGAGAAGCCTATGAGCAAAATGCATTTTCATACCAATGGTATATATATACAAATGTATACATTTATAGCTAATACATAATCATATATTTAGCTTCTATATATTGAATCCGTCAACAAAATAAATAGGAAAACGATATAAAACTGCATTCAAGGAAATATAGTGAAGAATACCGTCAAATTGTCACCAACTTATAATAAAAGCACTCACTTATGAACAACAATTTTTAGATTATATAAAAAGGCGTACCATATGGGAAAGGTCCGGGCGAAGTTGGAGGCGATGTCGTTGTCGTCATAGGCATGTTACAGAAATCTGTATCGCAACAAGAGATCGATACGTCACGGTTATATCGTTGATGGGAATCAGTATCCTTCTGCTTTTGTCGTTTGCCAATAATAGTGTTGACAACTTGGACACTATTGAATCCAAGTGATGCTCCTTCACAAATCTGTAACATTGGATCAAATTAATTTGCAAAACAGTTGAATTCTAGTGTGTATCAACTATAAAAAAATCTTATTATGAAGGTAAAACTGATCCTTCGTGTCTTATGGTGAACAGTTATTTTGTGCTTTCATATTACCATAAAAGATGTTGTTTTAAAGCTTCTTCTCAATGCATACCCAATATGTAAAAATTCATCATTCATACATGACTAAATCCATACCCAATATATAAACATTCATCATTCATATGACTTAATCCATATCCAATTTGTAAACATCCATCATTCATACATGAATAAATCCATACTCAATATGTAAACATTCATATGTCATATGACTGAATCAATACCCAATATGTAAACCTTCATATGTTATATGACTGAATTCATACCTAATATGTAAACATTCATATGTAATATGACTGAATGCATACCCAATATGTAAACATTCATATGTAATATGACTGAATGCATACCCAATATGTAAACATTCATATGTAATATGACTGAATCAATACCCAATATGTAAACATTCATATGCCATATGACTGAATGCATACCCAATATGTAAACATTCATATGTCATGTGACTGAATCCATACCCAATATGTAAACATTCATATGCCATGTGACTGAATGCATACCCAATATGTAAACATTCATATGTCATGTGACTGAATCAATACCCAATATGTAAACATTCATATGCCATGTGACTGAATGCATACCCAATATGTAAACATTCATATGTCATGTGACTGAATCCATACCCAATATGTAAACATTCATATGCCATGTGACTGAATGCATACCCAATATGTAAACATTCATATGTCATGTGACTGAATCAATACCCAATATGTAAACATTCATCACCCATATGACTGAATCCATACCCAATATGTAAACATTCATATGTCATATGACTGAATCCATATGTAATATGTAAACCTTCATATGTTATATGACTGAATTCATCATGATATGATATGGTGTGATATGACATTATATGATATGATATGATATGATATAACATGCTAGGATTTATGATGATAATATACTTCAATCCTTTATTCGTTATTCTGTCTTCTGATAGTTTTGCTCCAATCAGTTCAATGTCTAACGCAATACAGTATGATATTAATACCTTCATGTTTCTGTGCATGTTAAGTGGTTATGGCCAACTAAATTTAAATAGTTTGCTTCTCAGAAATGTAGGTTCGAATCCACGAAAGAGCTTCGGATTTGTTCAAATGAGGAAGCTTTCCAGTTATGATATGGAAGTGGTAGATTTTTGCTCAGGTACCTGCTCCTGACACCTTCTTCCACCTGTAAATTTGGAATGTCGCGCTAAATGACATTTACCGTGCCCGTGTGACCTAGTTCCCCTTGAAAAAAATTTTTTAACGAGGGTTGTTCAAAAAGTACTATTGTTTCAATAACTGTTTTGAAACGCTGCGCAAGGTGCGTGTAACAATGACTATTCAATATCACAGTGAACATACATTTAGCACAATGATCAAATTGTAGAACACATTTTATGATCTCTGTACACATGATAACATTCTAAATATGATGAAATATGAAGACGTAAGTCTTAGTCCTATTACATTTTGAACAAACATCGTACCTATATCTTTGTTTCAATCATCACAATTTATAGACTTACATCTTTTGCGCCGCACATCAGGATGTACTCGTGTCGACCATCTTTTGTCACGTGATGTTTCGTCATGCATGTCTACAAGTAAGCACAACATATGTCATATGAAACAAATGTTGTTAACATTCAAAGTCTTTTTATATACTTAAATGTTAAACTACTTTATTGAATTGCTTTATAGTATGTTTTCGATTTCTCCACTTTAAAGTGGATTGGTCTTCAATGGGCACATTTTCCATAAGCATTTCAATAACGATCAAAACAATCAGAAATGTATCACAATAAAATATATGATTATTTCGTGATTTGTTATTTTGTCTGATACTAATTACTATCAACATTATTTTTTTGAGCCGTGCCATGACAAAAACTAACATAATGCGTTTGCGACCAGCTGGATCCAGACCAGCCTACGTATCTGCGCAGTCTGATCAGGATCCATGATGTTCGCTTATAAACCCTATTACAAGTAGACAAACTGATAGCGAACAGCATGGATCCTGATCAGACTGTGCGGATGCGCAGGCTGGTCTGGATCCATGCTGGTCGCAAACGCACTATGGTTTTGTCATGGCGCGGCTCATTTATTGTATAACAAAGTTTTATTTATAGACCAATTCACTTTAATACAAATATTATGATTGATAGACTAATTGGTATAGGGCGCATTAAGCTTACGTTGTAACATAAAAGCAGTGGTATGACTGTATACAAAATGACCTTTAATTACTATGAAGCGTCGACTAATTCCTACAACCGTGGCAAGGAAGCCTGGTACCGCAGTATTTTCACCCCTTGTGCAGAAGTTTTTCCTTAATATTTGTTAAAATATACCGGGTTAAATCGCGTTTATCGACTATTTCATGTAATACAACCTCATCTTTTCTTTTCTTTTTGATTAAGTGTTAAACTGTATTCTGCAAAAAAACATTTAAATAGAAATGGTTTATCAGCTTATGAAGCTGTTCGCACTGTAGCTTTAATGTATATTGTTGTTCTTTTTTAAACAATCAACGTATTGTAATAAGTATTGCAAAAGAGCTTGTCTGTATCGGTATATCATAATACTTGGTTTAAACAATATTTATTTTCAATAAATTGATTACATAATATATCATACAAAGTACACAAGAATAATTACAGAGCGATTTTACATTAAAACTAAACTTAAATGTATACAGAAATTATTAGGTGTACTAAACATGTAAACTATCATAATACTTGTTGTCTGTATGGCCATATCGTAATACCGATTGATCTGTATCGCTATATCGTGATACCGGTTGATCTGTATCGGTATATCGCAATAGAATTTAATTGTCCCTATCGGTGTATAGCAATACGGGTTTTTCTCTATCGGTGTATCGTAATACTGGTTGTCTGAATCGGTAAATCGCAATACAGATTATCAATATCGGTATATTACAATACGGGTTATCTTCTTCGATATATCACAATATGTGTTGTCTATATAGTTATATCGTAATCTGTATCGGTATATTGCAATACTGGTGTCTCCATTGGTTGTATATCGTGGTTAAACGTATCAAAAAGATAAATAGTAGCATCTTCTTAAACAATCGTAGATCATCAGAAAACGGTTTTTAGCATGGATCTATTTATCCATGCGATTCTGCAAAACATTTGTGCAGTGTCGTTGAAAAAATTTCCGCGGCGATACTTTCCTTCCCGTTGCCATCGGTTTGGCTATTAAACTGTCATGCGCGTTCTAGAGAATTAGTTTAAAGTCTGTACCTCGCCGTCCCCACAGGATGCCGTTGTGTTGCACGTATATGGATCTAAGATTGGTGTTGGGCACATATAGCAATCCAAGGCTGAATTGGAATACAGATGTCATAATTATGTTAATACATGAATGAAAATATATTAACAGTTTAACAACAAGGCTAATTTTATATCTCGATAGTTCATTGGTGTCGGATGTTGTTGAGTTTGCGTTCTTCGTTGCTGAGCTATTTTCAAAAGGTTACGAACCATAATTTTGCTAGAAAAACTCTCATTGTATGCGGATCGCATTTATTATGACACAATCTGGTCCATCTTCATCACTCAAATATTTTTTTATATTTTTTTTTCTGTAAAAGTGCAACACTAATCCTTTTATAAGCCTTTGACAAATCAATAAATCTAACTAATGTATTTATTTGTAGCTTTGCTTTTGACTCTTTTTTATTAGTTTTCATAAGATCTGTCTCCTCAGATTTAAATTGTATCCACAAAACCTCGAACCGGACAATGAAATATTCTTTAAAGGTCATTGACTCCAAACCACTTGTCCCTAATCGCTGTTGGTTCGAATCCCACCACGGACTTTGGATTCTTTCATGCTAGGAAACTATCCAGCTAGCTGACAGAATGCCGGTGTTTCTACTCAGGGAACGGGTGGGCATCTGAGGTCTCACTCATCCAGTATTTTTTAGCTTGAAAGTCGCCATAAATTATGACATTGCCAATCTTGGTGCGAATTAAAAACCCAACCTAAAACTATCAAGCATATAAAAATAAAAGTCTCGCTACAAATTGTACTTACGACAATTGCCGCAAAACCTTTGACAGGTATCGTAGGCAAAGTTCTGATCATTACAAAGACTGGGGTTTGCTTTATTGAATATAATGCATGCATTTGTATCCAAATCTTTACAGGTACTTTGGGGTTGTCCGCCAGATAATGCCACCAATACCCCTGCAAAAGTTTATACATACGAATATATTAAAGGAACTCCACTGAGGTCAAAACTCATAAAATTATAAAATGTCAATTACTTACATAAATCAAGAGAAACACTTGTAATGAAAACAAAATGCAAAGGTTGGTGAAATATATATTATTTCTGTGCGATTCTAACCCTGATTTCAGTGAAAAGCGTCGCAATGCTTTTCATTTTTTGGGTTATATTGAGTAATAAAAATGATTATTCTGGAAAGATGGGATGAGGGGATGATCTGAATGTTTGCACACAAGTTATTGATCCAAATCTCCATCAACTATCGGAAAGAAATTCCAGTCCCGTCATGTCAAAATTTCTCAGTGGAGTCCCTTTTAAGGATTCCAAAAACAATGCAAAAATGTTATAGCTTGCAAAGATAATGCTCACCTGTCACCCTACATTGTGAATTAATGATTCCATAAAATTATTAATTGGGTTAGCACTCTAACAAAGGATGCATACTAGTTTACTTTAATATCCTGCAGGACCAAGTTTCATGCCACGTTACGGTATGTACATTCGACACATTTAATTAGAATAATTGATACATCCGAGACCGATAGAAAAATAAGGAAATTTAATGTTTATTTCTATTTGAACATTTCACTTATCTGAATTTAGTCCTGTGTTAACATGGAATAACATCTAAGACTAATATTTTTTAATATCTAGTGCTAAAGGTCATGGAACATTTAATAGTTGGTCTGTTGATAGTTTACTGGTTTTATACAACAGTTTCATAGTAAAATGAAGATTTCACAGTCCTTACTTTAATTAGAATTAAAATATAAATAGGAATTATCTTTAACAAAGATACTCGGCCGAAGTACTAACTGGTTAACATGCATGATTATGTTATTTCTAAGTTTTCAATGCAAAAGAAATGTAAGCAATGCTTGCATAACAATGACATAATTATTATTTTTGTAGCTAAGAAAATATCCATTTTGTAAATATTGAAATACAATTATAGCATATTGATAGTGATAATGGTTTAAAGAAAGTAGGACAGATTCTATTTTCGGTGTCCATTTTTCTTGTTTTACGTTTGACTTTATAAAGTTTGCACTCATTTACAAATTAACCTAAAAGAACTATCCTCATACCTGTACATTTTATTTTAGAACTATCCGTTACATTTTATTCTATAGTGGCAATAATTATCCTTTACATTTTATTTCAGAGCTATCCTTAAAATTAGCTTTTAGAATGGTAAGAACTATCATTTACATTTTTAGAATGGTTAGAACTATCCTTAACATTTTATTTTAGAATGACCAATTAAATTCAACGATTTTAGTTTGTAATTTTAAAATGACCATTTAAAATTCTTCTTATTTTCAGTTCTTCCCTGTTAATTTTACAGGAAGTCAAACTGATAACAGAGGGACTGCGTCCGAAAAACCCCCCATAAAATACATCTTTCTGTGTAACATATTTATATAGGAATTCTCTATTTTGTAACGGTAAATGTTGGAACATTCGGAAAATTAAATAACGTGCCGTATTTTAATAAGCTTAATAAGCGTCGCTTATTACTGATTTTATATTCATAAATCTGCATAATGGGAGAAAACTTTATACGTAAATCGAAATCTCGGTTAAATTATCATTTTTTAAGATAATCCTTTGGTAGACATACAGTAATGTTAGCATAGTTTGAATTTGCCATGGATTGTATTTTCTTTTGATATAGTGCATATTCTGGATTAAATTTCACTTGTTTCTTAAAATGCAATTTTCATGATTTCCAATTTTTTTTGTGAATGCTAATAAAAATCACTGGAAAGTTCGAAACCAATCCAAATCACATTAGCTTTGATTAATGAATGTCAAGGCCCCATTTATTGTAAAATTGTTTTATACAGCATGCACGGTAAATAAGAGTATTTTCAGGGGGTAAAAAATTTTTGCAGTAGAAAACATCTACAAGGTTGAGGACTAGTTCTTTGTGATATTTTGCATGTATAGGGAGTTGCTAAAGCAGAGACGGTGTTCCTTTAGCCTGTATATTTGCAGATATTTTTTTGCCAGAGGGTCGAAATGTGTTGTTTTGGGTCTCGGGCCACTGTAGATTTTGGGCTTCAACGGAATGAATTGCAAATTTTTTGACTGCCTGCCTATTGCAGATGGGATAATTTCTTTGTAGATTTGCAATCTTATGTCATATGTGTTCTCAACAAAATGTGTTTTCTTTTTCCAGGTTGTGTAGTTTGGTATCAGAATTATTAGACGTATTGCTTGTAGGACATTGACGGCAGGAACTTGAAATTAACTGTGGAGTGCTACCTTATCCGAAGTTTGACGAAAAGGGCCCAGAAGATGCGATTGTATCCGTAAATGTCGAAATACGTTAAATATGCCGAATTTATCAAAGGAATAACGCATTTGGTAAAATGATGCTTGATACTTATATAATTTATCCTGCAATATTTTTAAATTTAATGAATTTTTATTTTTCATTCTTGACTAACTAGTGCCATGATGCTGCCCACAATATGACGATTAGAATTCCACTTACCGATTACTAAAACTGAATAAATAATCATGATTCCTCCCGTTTGTCCTTGTTGAATAAGTACATGTAAAATATCTCTGACGTAACTGATTAGACCGGTGACTTACTCAACCCTCTAAGTCTTATCATTTAAACACAACTTTGATAAAGGAATATATAAAAGATCGCCCAACATTGTACTATTAAATTAAAGAAAAACAACTTAACACAGTTAAATGATTCTTCAAAGCAAAATAATTATATTCATTTGTGAACATGTTTTAATTCAATTTGTGATTTTTAACAGGTTTTTTTCTGTCGAACTGTTAAAATGGGTTACCTGCTGAAACCTGGGACAACAATAATTATTTTTTGTTCCGGCTGAAAAATATTGTTATTCATGTTTGTATGTTGTCACTAGGATAATGTACATGTGCACATATGAGCAACAGATATATGTTTATTTTTTATTCATTTATTTTTTGTAATCAAATAATTTGTTTAATGAACATTATTTTTGATCTCGGAAATATTCAACTGACACGTGTCTTATTTACCTAAATGATTTGATGTATACAAAATTAAAGAACTACAAAGGGCTGCTAACTGGAATGGTTATATTGGACCTATTATACCGTCGAATATGATAATTTATGTGGAGACCTGCTTTTCCTATCAAAACTGCATTCCCCCCCCTCCCTCCCCTTCATTACCGTTGTTGCTTGGACGTAACCCGTAAGCTAGGATATACAAATAAAATCACAATTGAGTTTTCTTGACCTTTGACATAATTGTGTTGTTATGCATAAAATACCGAATAACATCTTTAAAAACAAAAAATGTAAAATGAAAAATAAACGATTTAATATTTCACCAATTTCCCCGTTCAAAGGCTGTGCCTAATTTCGTATTAGTGTCTGGGGAATACTAGGTCTGGAATGAGTGATGCTTCGACATAAGCAAAATTTATGCCTGGACGATTTTGTTTCTGAGAACTCTACTAAGCCATTATCAATAAATGTTTTTTTTTAAACTACAACTCTCTTCTTGTACTCATACAATTTTGGTAGGCTAAATAATTTTGTTTAAATTTTGTTTTGCCACAAAATGATTTGAGAACATGATGCATATGACATACAATTCTAAAAATTAAAATTGGAATTCTTCATTTTATGAGACCATTTCTCGTGATGTAAGTATATGGGATATCAATGCGAGAGTCTGGCCAAAAGAGAGAGAGAAAGGAACATTTGAATTGTCATTATTCATTTTTAATACTTTGTCTTCAATGGTCAAACCATGAATAGATGATATTCTGGATTCAAAGAGATATGCAGCCTTGCTAGGTATTATATTATTATAATAATTATATTATTTTGATGCAAATGTTAATGTGTACAACAGCTAATGTGCCAAGGGGGTCCATTTACAATCATTATTCATATATGAGCAGGATTATTAATTACAGTTACTTAAAAACTTATAATGGTTTGTACTAAATTCTTAAGACAGTACATTTGAGTGGAAATCAATTGGTGATGTGTTGAAAATGAATAATCTAACCCTTGGTCATTAAACATAATTTTCAGATTTCAAAGAAATGCTGAACATTGGCTATACACATTCCTGGTTTGAGGACTGCATATTTAACTTGACAGGACCTGATGGCCATTGTTGATGGGTGTTAGAGGTAAATCACTACAAATGCATATTGCCAAGTTCAAAATTAATATACTTATGCTTAGAATAATCTAGGATGCTGTTTCGACTAACATTTCAACTATGTTTTGGGGCGGAAATTTCTTCGCTTGGCACTTACTTTTTCCCATTTTGCTTTAAAGTTTACATAGAATGTCACAAGTAATAGCTGCTATGTCTGTTTCCCATATTGAAATGCCAGGTGTGTCACTTACAGGCACAGATAACATAAAAGCTTCAAAAGTATTGCATTCTGTCTTTAAACCTACTTGGTTTCAGGGCATGAATATTAACACATACTTAGGGGAGTAAAATGCATTAAGAAATGTAGCTGAACTTAGTTTAGTTGCTTCCAAATAGCCTCTCATCATGTGGTTTAGATGCAAAATAGTGATAACAATTTATTGTTTGCCATTTAGTAATGCTGTTTTATGCATATTTGAATATGCATCATAATAGCCAAAGGTAGAATTATTTTGTAGAGAAAGTTTCTTTGATAAGTTAAAGTTGATTTCCCTTTTTCACAAGAATATTATGCACAAATTATAACACAGTCACTGTTGTAATGTTTCTGATGTTTATGTTAACAAAAACAGCCCATATTTAGGTAAATATATATATACAAAGGGATAATTATGCACATGTTCAGCTTATTACCTCCCTTTACTTATTTAGAAACTAGGATTAGTCTTTCAATTCTCAATTCTTGTTTCTGGCTATCTAAATGTGAAGAAAATACCCAAACATTTTCCAAGTATATATTGGTCTAAAGAGGTGATGTACTTGGTAAAACCCTAAAAATAGTTTGAAATTGTCATATTTGGTTCCAAATGAATGCAAAAATGACCAAAAATACGATTAAAAGTCAATTTTATGATATTCCTGTGCATTTAAGTCTAGAGGAAGTTAGATTTTTCATATATGGCATGTTTTTATATCCATGAAAGTTTTTTAGGTTTGTTTTTAAGAACAAAAAAGCCAATTTTTGGAGTAGAAAAATATAGCAGAGACAATTTTAAAATACCTAGTTACACACACAATGTTACTATGTGTGTACAAATAGCTGGTATTTTATCTATATAATCAGGTCACTATACAGTATTTAATTAGTATATTTTTATAGCTATATATCATCATTCAGAAAGTCTATTGGTAATAAAATGTTGAAATTTGGGTGAAAATCACTTATTTTGTTATGGGTGAAATTGCTCCCTGCTACATCCTTTTGTTACAAATTCAGTATTTTGTAGCAGTTCTGTAATAAGAATAGTGTATTATTTCTATCTGAGTGATTCTAGAGAAGGAAGTTGCTACAAAATTGGCTTCGGAATATTGAATTATGAATGAAAATCATATGATAACATTCATTTTCAGAATATTCAGAATACGGCATTATGACGCTCATAGGAAAAAGGGCCAAACTTCAAAGCTTTTAATGACTCAAGAGTGGTGAAAATGCATCCATATAATTTGTAATTGTATATCGTTTATTATTAGATATAAGAATACTAAACATTTAATATGCCCTTAAGGTCAGACTATCGTATTGTAACATGGCAAGCAATTGGCTGAAAAAAGTGCAGGAAAAACTTAAGATACAATATGGGACATGTGGTGATTAGATGAAAATGGGATGTTTTTTACGGTACCACTAAAATACGCAACGGAGATTTTTTGGCGCAACGGACGCAACGGGCGCAACGGAGATATTTTTTTTTAAAAAACCGGCACAACGCCTTTTTTTAAAGTCAATGTGCTATATTTAAGCATCTAAAATGATTGTTTAGCACTATTAAGAAAGTATGTTTTAAAATGTTTCATAAATTGTATATGTTTAGTTGCACTGAAGGGATATATGCCTGGCGAAATGGAAATTTCATGGCGCAACGGAGATATTTTTTTTAGAAAAAACCGACACAACGCCTTTTTAAAGTCAATATGCTGAATTTGAGCATCTAAAATGATTGTTTAGCACTTTTAAGTAAGTATGTTTTAAAATGTTTCATAAATTGTATATGTTTACACTGAAGGATTATATATGCCTGGCGAAATGGAAATTTCATGGCGCAACGGAGATAATTTTGGAAAATCAGCACAACGTTTGTACTAATATATGAAATTAATTAACACCAATGTTATTTGAATAAATAAATTTAAAAAAAAAATTTAAAAACCTTAATCGTATATCAAATAATCAAATAGCTGCAATGTTGATGTTGTAAAGGGAAGTGTGCCGGAGAAATGGACATTTGGTCTGCGCAACGGAGATTTTTTTTTTGGCGCAACGGAATTTAAAAAGAAAACAATGTTTGTCCTAATTAAGTTGTAATATGAAGAAGTAAATCATTAAAGATATTAACTGAATTACTCAAGTGGTGTAATAAATGTCTGTTTTATTAATTTAAAAATGGAATTAAATACGTTTTTATCGTTATGGCTAACACTGAAAGACAAGTATGGATTTTACAATCTGTTTCATTTTTTCCCTTTCAATCTGTTAGTACTCGTTTAAATTTGATCCTATAATTTTTTAACTGTAAAAATTATTTTCTTATTTCTGCTGCCGGGAATTTATAAGCAAATCACTTTATTTCTTAAAAGCATGACCAGTAGCAAGCAATTTGCTAACCATATTACATTATCTTTTTAATAATGATTGAAATATTAATGCATTTTTAAAATTAAAAATAGTATAGTAACTATACAAAATATTAATTGTTTGATAAAGTTATTAAAATAGTAAAACGACATGCATGTTACTCAGAATTTGCTGTTCTTTCTATTGCCATTTTAAAACAGTAAAAAACATAATACTTCCCCGATCAGAAAACCCCGTTAAAATCAAATGCAGCTACTGTTTAATTATCAAATATTGGATACAAGTTTTGAAATCAAACAACCCATTAATTATAAATATATACGAAATGTTGAAAAACGACGCAAACAATGGTAACTCATACAACGGTCTTAATTGGGCACATCATATTAAAATTTTGCTTGAAAAAATAGGATTAGGAAATTTGTGGCTTTCTCAGAATTACAATGATATCAGTTATGTTATTATTAAGCAGCGAATATTAGATATCTTTAAGCAATCGTGGTATACTACAATTAACAATTCTAATAGGTTATCGCACTATTGTTTATTCAAACACGAATTTGAAACAGAGAAGTACCTGCAGTTAAACATGGACACTAAATATAAAACTACAATTACAAAGTTTAGATTATATACAAATAATTTAGCCATTGAAACTGGACGATATAACAATACTGACCGTCAACAACGATACTGTACTCAATGTAATATGAATATGATTGAAGATCCTTATCATTTTTTACTTGTTTGTCCTAAATACAGACAGTTACGAATCAAAACTTTCACCCCGTATTTTTGCAGATGGCCATCTATTCAAAAGTTCACTACTTTAATGTCAACAGATTCTATAAGATCAATTTACAAATTAGGTCGATTTTTATATTTGGCTTTCAGAGAAAGACAATGATACCATTAAGAAACTAGACTTAAAAATGTTTGTTAAATCTAAATTGTTAAACTTTTGTTCTTCTGGTAAAGTTTGTATGCACCACTATACATGTTTATATTTGTATGGCTATAAATATTGTTTGTATTTAATGCCAATAAAATATTCTGTTCTGTTCTGTTCTGTTCTGTTCTGTTTATTTAGCGAAACAACAGCAAATATGGTGATTTGAAGAATGTTTATCACGGGTGTTAAGTACCGATAATTAAATTACCAATGACACGTGGTTGATGTTTATTGGACACACGTTTTCACACCATTTAGATAATGTGATTAAGAGGAACATGTATTGACTTTAAGGTATTAAATATTTTTCTATAACTTGTTATTGTCGAAAATATTGCCTTTGAAGCTTATTACGCCAATATTTCACTCAAACTATGAGAAAAAATGTGTATATGAAATGTGAGACGTAATAAAACTTTTTGGAGTCTGAATCCACCACTGATGACGGTCAAGTTTTCTATTACAAGTGTTAAAAACATTATTAAACACCCGTGCCATACACGTGCACGATACGTTGCTAATTGCTAACAATTCTCGTGTAATTGATTACCTTTTGTCAATATCATAATTATGAAATATTTGGATTGCTTTTGATGAAATATACAATGTATACGCAACAAACAATTATTGAAAAAGTACACAATGATTAATGAAAGATAATAAATTAATAAAATAATATAATATGATAAAACTGTTATGATAATCCTCGTTGCGCCGAAATAGTCCAATTTGCCATAATTTAAATATCTTTTACAATATCCTATTTTCAACATTTTCTAAAATAAAGGAAAGTAAATCATTTTTAAAAGACTGTTACTTATTATTCTCAAGTTCTTAAGTTATGTTCAAACATAGGATCTACCCATTATGCAAATCTTCATTTTCCGTTGCGCCGAAATTATATCCATTTCGCCGTCCATTTAAAATCTGATATATTCAGTATTCTACCTAATAAAATCAAACTTATACAGTATATGTAAAAATGTGTATCAACAATACCAACTTATATGATTATTTTATGTTTTAGACATAAAAAAAACAGTACAAAGTTTTGAAAATAAAATCTCCGTTTCGCAATAATCCATCGGCACAATGAATGTTTATAATTAAAAAAAAATACTGAACATTGATTCTGTAATATCAACATATGACTTTATTTAGTATATACTAATGCAAATTCATTTAAAAAGTATGTATAGAAAAGCTATCACAGTACTTTTCGTAAAAATAACAAATTGAACAGGAAAAAAATGAACAGATTGTAAAATCCATACTTGTCTTCCAGTGTCAGCCATAACGATAAAAACGTATTTAATTCCATTTTTAAATTAATAAAACAGACTTTTATTACACCTCTTCAGTTATTCAGTTAATATCTTTAATGATTTACTTCTTCATATTACTACTTAATAAGGCCATTTAAAATTCCGTTGCGCCAACAAAAAAATCTCCGTTGCGTAGACCAAATGTCCATTTCTCCGGCACACAATCCTTTACAACATCAACATTGCAGCTATTTGATTATTTGATATACGATAAAGGTTTTTAGATATTTTTTTAAATTTATTTATTCATATAACATTGGTGTTAATTAATTTCATATATTAGTACAAACGTTGTGCTGATTTTCCAAAATTATCTCATTTGCGCCATGAAATTTCCATTTCGCCAGGCATATATAATCCTTCAGTGTAAACATATACAATTTATGTAACATTTTAAAACATACTTACTTAAAAGTGCTAAACAATCATTTAAAATGCTCAAATTCAGCAATATTGATTTTAAAAAAGGCGTTTTGTCGGTTTTTTTCTAAAAAAAATATCTCCGTTGCGCCATGAAATTTCCATTTCGCCAGGCATATAACCCTTCAGTGCCATTAGACATATACAATTGATGAAACATTTTAAAACATACTTACTTAATAGAGCTAAACAATCATTTTAGATGCTTAAATATAGCACATTGACTTTAAAAAAAAGCGTTGTGCCGGTTTTTCTAAAAAAATATCTCCGTTGCGCCCGTTGCGTCCGTTGCGCCAAAAAATCTCCGTTGCGTATTTTAGTGGTACCCTGTTTTTTAGTATGAAAACTAATTTAGAAACTATAATACTTATTGTTTTCTTATGAAGATTAAATATTTCAAAAGTCTCTATAACAATTTGTGATATATTTATAAAAAGTGTATATATGTCAGTCTTGTGGTCATGCAGCAGACAATTTCAATGAAAAGAGGTCATTTTGCAAAAAAAGGTTGGCTACCCCTATACAACAAGATCATTTAAAAATTTTGAGTAAGACATGTCATTCTCCTAGAAAAACCACTGCTTAAGCACGAAAACTAAATTTTAAGTTAGGTTTATAACGTTTAGGGATCATTTCTCATAAGGCAAGTCTGAGGGAAAATTATTATGAAAGTCTGACCAATTAGTTAAGTCTGACCACACCTACGATAAATAGATAATAACCTTCAGTTACTTCCCTTTGTTTCTGAAAAAAAAATAAAATAAATAAAAATGGTGTTTTTAACAAGGACATGCAATGCTTTGAAGGATCACTTTAGGGCAACACCTAAGTACTTTATAAATTTGAGATCACCGTCCGTAGAAGCAAGAAGAAATCAGATGAAGAAGCATAACCACGTAATGTCATTAGTTTTCGCGTTAAATATATATTTTTTTATTTTTGCTACACAAATTAGAAGCAGGTTTAACTCAAGCCAAATTACTAAAACATCTCCAGGCACTGACGGGAATATGAGCTGGACCTCTCGATTACTAGGCGGACATTAAACCTCGGTGATAAAGGGTTAACATCTCGGGTGCTCGGCGCGTTGAGTGGTCACTACACCCCCCCCCCCCCCAATTTTTCATTTGAAATATGTTTAAGTATTTAATATATGTTTTTATAATAATATGAAATTAGGCAAAGGCTATTGAACAGGAATTTTGTTGAAATAATCGTTCATTTTACATTTTACGTGTCAATCGTTATTTTATGCACTGCATCCATATATTCTGGTTCCCTGTCCTATTATGGTCCCCAAAGAAGTGTGCAGTCGCTATCTTGGAAGTCAAAAAGTTGCAATTGTTTAATTGCCGTTTATCATTGTGTTACAGCGCCCAACAAGAAATAACTGAACACAGAAAATTTCACTGATAGGTATTGAATTCTATATATAATTTTTTTGGTCTTTTTATATGATTCAGAGTCAACTCGTCCCCTGGTCAACTCGTCCTCTGGTCAACTCGTCACCTTTTTGGTCAACTCGTCCCTTGGACAACTCGTCCCCTGGTCAACTCGTCCCCAACTCGTTCCCCCCCCCCCCCAATAAATTATCATAGACTGTTAAAATAATACATTATAAAATTACTGAATTTGACATATTTTGACGCTTTTTGTATGCGAATATTTGGAGGGTTTTTTTGTTGTTAATTAAATATATCATGACACGTGCCTTTGGTTATTAAAGTAAACACATAGTAATTTGATAACAGGATTAAAGACACATTTGCCTCTGTGGTTGAATACGTATATACATATTAAAAGAACGCGTGTCTTTAATTAGAAATTATACAAATCGCGTGAAAATCGTGCCAAAGGTTGTTATAAAATTTTATTTTCAAAATGTCGACTTTGTTTTTGATGGTGTATGGTCAAATATGTGAAAATGTTGAATTAAATACAATTAATACATTCAATATGTTGACTTGTATTATACAAGAAATTCTGGAACTCGGTTTTATACAGCTCCTCTTTGAGATCAATTTAAAGATTTATTTATGGAAATTTAATATTAATCTTTACTTATTATTAGATGGCAATTGAATATTTAGTAATTACTTTATGTTTTCAATTAGTTAATATCCACGGCAAATATCATTGTACGGATTTTTTATTTAAAAATAATAATGAAAAAAAAATACTAACTCTTTCAAAAGGCATGTATGTTTATACAACTCCTATGATAATGGACCATAATATTACAATGAATACAATTTTAAAAAAATCAGAAACAATTGACAATTTCACAACAAACAATTATCATGTTTTTAATTGACACGATCCTTCTATAATGAGATCAATACGCACCGACATAAAGTTTTTAGCACTTCCAATTTCTGTTAATCTGTCGTCAGTCTTTAATCCATTCAGGGAGGAGGTAAAAATCAAAGAGTTGGACCTAATTTTAGTTTTAATTATCATTAAAACTCCGATTAATTAAACATTAATTGAATGTTTGCAAACTTACCTGTCTTTGTAATTTTACATCAAAGCTATGCCTGTGGGTTAGATAAAGATCATTAAAATTTAACGTAAAAAAGACGTTATTTTATTAATATTTCGATATCAATCAAATTCATTATAAATTTTACATAAAAAGTACTATTTAAAGACATTGATTTACAACATAATAGTGACGAATAGATCGAACGTAGGGGACGAGTTGACCATATTAGGGACGAGTTGACTCTTTGAGGACGAGTTGACCAAAAGTAGGGGACGAGTTGACCAAAAAGGTGACGAGTTGACCAGAGGACGAGTTGACTAGGGGACGAGTTGACCGGATTGCTTTTATATATACACGTGCAGTTTATAGCCGGGCAAGCCAAAGCCTGGAGCCGCTTCAAGGCCCTCAGCTTTGACTTCCCCATATAATTTTATCATATTTATTTGCTCAATACAAAAAAATATTCATTTTGAATAAACAGCTGTTTAGTCGGGTAATTTTCACAAAAAAACAGCAGTCAGGTCGCTGTCCACTTACACTTGCAGTGACTTCCAGATTACATATGTATCTTCTTAAATCTTGAAATGATTGTAATGACAGCTTTATTTCCTTTAAGAGTAATCAATTCCCTACCATTAGCTACCAAGATTTTGAAAATTGGTGAATTTTTTTTTGGAGTTATGGAGTTCATAAAAAAAGTGCTGGAAATTGAGCAGCTAGTTGCATACCTTTACTTAATATATATGTATCGTTTTTTGTTGTTTGTTTTTAGCTCACCTGTCACAAAGTGACAGGGTGAGCTTTTGTGATCGCTTTTCGTCCGGCGTCCGTCCGTCCGTCCGTCCGTCGTCCGTCCGTCCGTAAACTTTTGCTTTAAATGACATCTCCTCATAAACCACTGAGCCAATTTCATCCAAACTTCACAGGAATGTTCCTTTGGTGGTCACCTTTAAAAATTGTTCAAAGAATTTAATTCCATGCAGAACTCTGGTTGCCATGGCAACCGAAAGAAAAATCTTTAAATATCTTCTTTTAAACAACCCTAAGAGCTAGAGCTTAGATATTTGGCATGAAACATCTTCTAGTGAGTGTCTACCAAGTTTGTTCAAATAAAAGCCCTGGGGTCAAAATTGGCCCCGCCCCAGGGGGTCATTGATTTTCCCTATATGCATATAGTAAAAACTTAAAAAATCTTCTTTTAAAGAACCCAAAGAGCTAGAGCTAAGATATTTGGCATGAAACATCTTCTAGTGAGTGTCTACCAAGTTTGTTCAAATAAAAGCCCTGGGGTCAAAATTGGCCCTGCCCCGGGGGGTCATTGATTTTCCCTATATGCATATAGTAAAAACTTAAAAAATCTTCTTTTAAAGAACCTTAAAGGCAAGAGCTTAGATATTTGGCATGAAACATCTTGCTAATGAGTGTCTACCAAGTTTGTTCAAATAAAAGCCCTGGGGTCAAAATTGGCTCCGCCCCAGGGGGTCATTGATTTTCCCTATATACATATAGTAAAAACTTAAAAAATCTTCTTTTAAAGAACCCAAAGAGCTAGAGCTAAGATATTAAGCATGAAACATCTTCTAGTGAGTGTCTACTAAGTTTGTTCAAATTAAAGCCCTGGGGTCAAAATTGGCCCCGCCCGGGGGGGTCATTGATTTTCCCTATATGCATATAGTATAAACTTAAAAAATCTTCTTTTAAAGAACCATAAGAGCTAGAGCTTAGATATTTGGCATGAAATGTCTTGTAGTGAGTGTCTACCAAGTTTGTTCAAATAAAAGCCCTGGGGTCAAAATTGACCCCGCCCCAGGGGGTCATAGATTTTCCCTGTATGCATATAGTAAAAACTTAAAAAATCTTCTTTTAAAGAACCCAAAGAGCTAAAGCTAAGATATTTAGCATGAAACATCTTCTAATGAGTGTCTACCAAGTTTGTTCAAATAAAAGCCCTGGGGTCAAAATTGCCCCGCCCCGGGGGTCATTGATTTTCCCTATATGCATATAGTAAAAACTCAAAAAATCTTCTTTTAAAGAACTCAAAGAGCTGTAGCTAAGATATTTAGCATGAAACATGTTCTAATGGGTGTCTACCAAGTATGTTCAAATAAAAGCCCTGGGGTCAAAACTGGCCCTGCCCGGGGGTGGGGGGGGGTCATTGATTTTACTTATATGTGTATAGCAAAAACTTAAAAATCTTCTTTGAAAAAACCCAAATAGCTAGAGTTTAGATATTAAGCATGAAACATCTTTAAGTAAATATCTACAAAGTTTGTTCAAATAAAAGTCCGGGGGTCAAAACTGGCCCTGCCCCAGGGGTGTCATTGTTTTTAACTATATGTGTATAGTAAAAACTTTAAAAATCTTCTTTTAAAAAACCCAATGAGCTAGAACTTAGATGTTTAGCATGAAACATCTTCTTATGGGTGTCTACCAAGTCTGTTCAAATCAACAAATAAAAGCCCTTGAGTAAAAATTGGCCTGGGGGTGGGGGCTATATACAGGTGAGCGACCTCAGGGCCATCATGGCCCTCTTGTTGTTTTTTGTTTTTTGTGAAAAATGACGGAAATCGAATTAAAAACATATCAAATATTAAAACATACTTCAAATGAAAAAGATATAGAGTTATGGATGTTGACAGTCCATAATACATGCCTTGAAACTTTCCTAGGTGTCTGCTATGTTTACAAAGTATGAATTTCTTATTATCTTTAATTGTCTAGGTATAATTTTTATGTGTTTGTTTCATTGGTTAGTTTTTTAATGAAACCTACTTTGAAATCACATGAGACATCAGTGGCCAAGTTGACTTCAAATCACTTGCTGTAGATTGTGCTGTGCTAACATCTTCAGATTCTTTCATGTTAGAAGCTATCCATGTAGCTTACAGAATGTAGGTGGTTCTATTTGAGTGCCAGTTTGTGCCTGAAATAATTCACAGAAGGGCACCTGAGGTCTTCCTCAACCATTAAAGCTGCAAAGTTGCCATATGACCTGTGTTATTGCAACATAAAATCCAACCATTAAAGCAGCAAAAAACTGTGCAATTATCAATGTAATCCTAACAATTCTTCATGCTTTTAAAGTTTTACATGTATTTCATTCATTTAGACAAACTTTTTTTCTATTATAGAAATACTATGGGAGAATCAGAAATGTGTATAACTTTGGTGTAAGAAGGATGCATAAAGCTTGGAAGTATTCAACGAGAGATCATGCCATAAAGGAGGAGACAATGGACAGAGTAAGATTTGGATTAATTTCTGATTTGGTCGACACTTTTTTTTTTTGATAAAAAATATAGAGGTATTGTTACAGTCATGTCTGCATTGCCGTTGCTGTTCCCGTCCACAAACTTGTACCTTGATCATAACTTTTTAAGTTGGACAAGACCTTTTAGTAGACCAGACAAACCTTGACCTTCATCCATAAATGACCTTGACCTTTAAGGTCTCATGTCCCAATTTTGCTTGTTTTTTTGCTATTAGTTGCTATAACTTTGTTATTTTGAAATGGACTGTCTTCAAAAGAACATAATAATCTTTTAGTATAGCCCTTCAAGTTAACCAAATAAACCTTGATCTTCACTCATAAATGACCTTGACCTTCAAGTAAACCAAATAAACCTCTATCTTCACTCATAAATGACCTTGACCTTGAAGGTCAAATTATTGAAAATTTCATTTTTTTTCTGCTGTAACCCGGCTGTAACTTTGTTATTATTAAATGGATTGACTTCATATTATAACGATAAGACTTTCATGTTGACCTTGACTCGTATATGACCTTGACCGTCAGAGTATTTTATTTTTCACTGATTATCGCTATAATTGCCTGTAACTTTGTAATTACTCAATGGATTATTTTCATACTTGGACAAAACAACATTTTAGACAAGATATTCTGAATGGTTGAACTGACCTTGGCCTTGAGCTTTATAAAACTTTGAGTGTCAAGGTCAAAGTAATGAATTTTGGTTAAGTTGTCATGATTTTGTAAATTTTGTACAGATTTGATTTATGGACAAAACAACACTTGTGACAAAACAGACATGTTGAATAATTTAGACATGATCTTTACCTTTATGTGACCTTGACTGTCAAATGATTGAATTTCTTAGCATTGTCATTTATTTATGGAAAGGATTCATACTTGGACAAAACTAGTGTGACTAGACAGACCTATTAAAATTGAAAAAGGAAAACTTTAAGATTATGTTTAAACCCTTTGTTTGCTTTTGAAAAAGTAAATAAGTCATGTGTTGCCCCCAACCCGGCGGTGGTTCTTGTTTTGGTCTAAAATTTGTGTGAAGTGTTCACTGAACTGTTAATGTGTTTGCGACCAGCATGGATCCAGACCAGCCTGTGCATCCGCGCAGTCTGATCAGGATCCATCTGTTTGCTTACCAATCCTATTGCAAGTAGCGAAACTGATAGCAAACAGCATGGATCCTGATCGGACTGTGCTGAAGCACAGGCTGGTCTGGATCCATGCTGGGCGCAAACGCACTATGTTGGTTTTGTCGTGACGTGGCTCATTCCATTTTTCATTGCATTTTTAAAATTTTGATGAAGATTAGCTTGAACCTAGCGGCATGTTGCTTTAATGTATACTTATGATAAGATATACATTTGGAATACATATGTATGAGAACAGGTCTAAAAAAATCAAGGTTTTTTCACAGGCAGGGAAAAGCCCTAACAAAATTTACGGAATAGAAAAACAGTATTTTTGCCAAAAATTAAGAGAGGAAAATCCTCTTGTATAATGAAATTTTAGGTGAAACCTGCATGATTTTAAAGATTTTCCTTGGAGAGAAAGATTGTAATCTTGCCATGTTTTAAAAGGTAAAAAAGTTTGTTCAGTTGGGAACTGTTCCGAGGGGATAAAAATTCTGTTTTCCATATACAGATAAATACAGCAATTATTCGAAATTCACAAAGTTAATTACATAATATAATATACATGTAATGTACAGCATACATATACCTTCTTTTACAATTACAAAATTTCCAGATTAGGTTGACCTTGATCTATTTCGCTAGTGGATAAAATTAACACTGAATTCAAATATCCAATGTATTTTACAAACTTTTCATACCCTGTTCTTCAATAAACATTATTGACAACAATTATTAACAATTTGTGTCAAAAGGGTAACTTTCATTATTAAATCATGTGGTTTTATCTTTATTCTAGCTATATGAAACACGGATTGAAGCTGCTTGTTTGGAACATGGGATGGATAAAAAATATTTCCTTACATCAATAGCTGAGGTATTCTTTTCATATTGTATTGACGTTGGTAGAACATCATAATACTGATAACCGAATCACTGAAATCCCATGCATGCGCAGTGATAAGACTGATTCCTTATTTTACAACTGTTTAACTGAATCACTGAAATCCCATGCATGCGCAGTGATAAGACTGATTTCTTATTTTACAACTGTTTAACTGAATCACTGAAATCCCAAGCATGCACAGTGATAAGACTGATTCCTTATTTTACAAATGTTTAACTGAACCGCTGAAATCCCATGCATGCCCAGTGATAAAATGAACAATTTGGTTATCGAAAGTCGCTGAGCTCAATATACAGTTGTGGTTTTAAAAAAAATCAAGCTTCTGTAGGATTCAGTTGTAAACAAGTTTACAAATAAAACAGTTATAAAAATATTATAAGTATGTTGATGCAATATACATTGTATATTACAGTTGGATGTAGTGATTATAGTTACATATGTATATTTATTACATAGCAAAGCATTAGTTAATAAAACAGTTACTTCATAGATGTTTATGGAACAGTAAAAACGTTTGTCCCTCGATATCATGGATGACATTTAGAACTGCTGACATCAGCCTTCACCCTCTGGCAACAGTTCCGAATGTCATTGCTTATACCTGACTGAGCAACAGTTTGAATGTTCCACATTTGAGCTTTCAGGAGTGATGGCCGTCCAGCGTTTGTCATCCACTTTTGTTTCAAATTTGTTTTAAGGTGTGTCCGTGCCCCAGTGGTGAAGGTTGTTGACTTCAAACCACTTGCACCTTATGGTTGTGGTTTCAAAAGACGGATATGGAAATCCCGACAGGAACTTTAGATTTCTTCATGTGAGGAAGCTATCCATCTAGCTTACGGAACATCAGGTGCCAGTCCTTGCCTGAAATAATGCACGGAAGGGCACCTGAGGTCTTCCTGCTCCAATACAGGTGGAAATAATTATATGACCTACACAGTGTTGGTGTGACAAAAAACATGAAAAATGTGATGGACAGCCATCTATACTGCACTAAAATATATTGTTTATTTTTCTGCAAGAAGTAATAATATTTTTTCTTTGATTTTTTTTTCCAGTTTGATATAAACCTTAACAGAGAAACATTAGCCAATCTTTCCATATATGAACCAAGGACTTTCCAGGTAAGACTTTAATATAGTATCTGTGTAATGTACACTGAATGCTTTTATGCCTTTAAAATGAGTGAGCAAAAGTCAGAGTGTAGAAAAACAAATGAAGAGTTTATGAAATATTGATAAACATTCAAGTTTAAACATTTAACCCTCAACCTGCTATATTGCTATACTGGATCTGTCCAGCTTTGAATTTGAAACAGTCCATTCAAAGCTCAAGGGATTTCAATATCAAAAAAGACAAAAATTGATCTGTCAACAGTATATATCCTGGTCAGACTGCACGGATGTACAGGCTGACCTGGCTCTATACTGGTGGCAAATGCTGATTTCTTTTGGTTCCAGCTGGTTAAGGATTAACATGCATATGAATGTACTGATTTAGACTTCACACATAAGAGGTCAGAGGTCAAAATGGCAAGACTGAGTGTTACCAGCATTACCCATGTCACATTTTATGGATGTACATGATATCCATGTGAACCTGGATCTAGTTGCCACCTGTCTATAACAGCCATTATATCACAATCTCTATGCTGACTATATATAGACAGGTTTAACTTTATTTGCAATGGACTAATGTGAAAAGCATTTTGCCACTTTATAATTTTCTTGAAGCATAAGTATCCTAAAATAATGCCTTGAACTAAAAATACCATTTGCAGCCTTTGAACTACTAGCCCTTTAACACAATGAATTTGTGTCGTAGTATGAGAGACCAGGCTCGAGGTTACAAAGAAATTCTCAAAAGTTAAACACTAATCTCAGTCAATTGATCGGTCATTAACTGCCACAGAATGTACACTGACCAATGAAAATCATAAGATTTGAGACAGAACTCAGAAAAAAGTTTTATAACCTTGAGGCCAATTCTTTTATGTGAGGAAGCTATCCAGTTAGCTTATAGAAGGTTGGTGGTTCTATACAGGTGGTTCCTTATGCCAGGTCTTTCACCCCTAGAAAAACTGGAAAGTTGCCATATCACATGAACAGTTTTGCTGAGATTTAATTTGCTAAAGGATGTAAGCAATATTAAATCAAATATTTTTTTTATAAAATCTATAAAAGTTATGTTGTTTTCCATTATCATTCTTATGGTCCATTCTCAAAAGAGAGAATGTTTCTATTATTTAACACACATGAACAGAATAAAATGTTTCAGAATAAAATATTATGCTTCCATTCGAAGTAATTTTTTAACTGTTTAACAATAACTTTGTGCCTTCTCCATTCACTCAAAGGGCAATATTGAAACATATTTATTATACCCCCGCACAACAAAGTTGTAAGGGGGGTATACTGGAATCAGCTCGTCCATCCGTCCGTCCGTCCATCCGGCTGTCCGTCGGTTTTTTCTTGTCCGCCCAATAACTTAAGATTCCTTTGACCCTTAGTCTTCATATTTGGCATGGAGGTTAGTCATGATTAGTAGATGACCCTATTGATTTTGAGGTCCACCAGGTCAAAAGGTCAAGGTCACAGGGCCTTGACTTCAAAAAAAGCTTGTCCGCCCAATAACTTAAGATTCCTTTGACCCACAGTCTTCATATTTGGCATGGAGGTTAGTCATGAATTAGTAGATGACCCCTATTGATTTTGAGGTCACCAGGTCAAAGGTCAAGGTCACAGGGGCCTTGACTATCAAAAAGCTTGTCCGCTTTATTATGGCCCAATAACTTAAGATTCCTTTGACCCACAGTCTTCATATTTGGTATGGAGGTTAGTCATGATTAGTAGATGACCCCTATTGATTTTGAGGTCACCAGGTCAAAGGTCAAGGTCACAGGGGCCTCGACTTCAAAGAAGCTTGTCCGCCCAATAACTTAAGATTCCTTATACCCCACAGTCTTCATATTTTGGAATGGAAGGTTTAGTCATGATTAGTAGATGACCCTATTGATTTTGAGGTCAAAAGGTCAAGGTCACAGGACTTTGACTACAAAAAGTTTGTCTGCCAATAACTTTAGATTCCTTTGACCCACAGTCTTCATATTTGGCATGGATGTTGATCATGACTTAAGGTGACCCCTATTGATTTTGAGGTCCACTGGGTCAAAGGTCAAGGTCACAGGGACCTTGACAAAAAAAGGTTTTCTTCTCAATTGCTAAAGAATGTCCTGTCCGCAATGTATTGATTTTGACATTTTCACATTTGAAGCATGTAGAATACATAACTTAGCAATGCACTGGCTTAGTAACCTCAGATTTGGCAGGGAGGTTGTCCTTGAGCTCTAAATGGCCGCTGTTGATTCTGACAAAGTGGTATGCGGGGGTATTCACGCCATGATAGTGGCAGTTCTAGTTACTTTAAACAGGTACTTCGAAAGTTTTCTTTCCGAAAAAAAAAAAAAAATAAACTATATATACAAATGTATAGCTTTATAAATTTTAAAATCTGCCAAAAATATTGAAAGTTATTGTTTTCTTCTTTTATTTTTACAGACATTAGTAGAATTTGTGAAGATGAGATCATTAGAAATAGGGCTTCAGTCTACAAAGTTGGGAAGTGTGTATGGAACAGAACCACGAGGAATTACAGAACAAGTAAATAGGCTGTCAAAGTCATGACACGTTTTTTAAACAAACTTGACTTTTTGTCAAGAAAAAGGAAAGATATTATGGGATGTTTTGAAAAAGACATTAATTGAAGTAAAAAGACACCTTTTGAAACAAAAGACACCATTTTAGGCAAAAGGACACTAAGTTTTTAAAAGCTGAAAAGTTATAGTTCTGATTTTTTTAGCTAAAACAAAGCAAACTGTATGCGGTGAAAATATTGTCACAAGTGTTAACATTAAAAGATTAAAGCCTGGCATCGTTTCACATGAAGCTCCTCATATTAAACATACTTGTCCCTTTTCATTTATTAATTATAAATTTAAAGAGTTAAATATTTCTGCAAGGTTATTACTCTTTAAAGTTAAGTTTGAGCAGCGGTCTGGTGTAAACCACTGAAATAGTTTGATTGGTCAGTTTTGTTTTGAATTATAATATCAAAGAACATTTTTAGACTGGTTTTCAAAATTTCTAAATTTTTAACCTTTTGACTAAGTATAAAAGTGTGAGAAGCGAGAGATAGCTTGTTTTGATTATAAAGTTCTGATGAAATGTCTATTATAGTATAAGGGGGTTGTATAAAAACATGAGAAAAATAAATGTAAGTGATATGATATTTTCTTTTTGTGTTTATGATACCTGTGACAAAAAATATTTTAAGGTAGACCATGGGTAATGGGCACCATAAGGAACTGTAAAATTGACAACATAGGACAGTTATATGTCTTCAAGGACACCTGTATGCAAAATTTAAACAAAATTTACTGTGTGGTTTATGAGTTATGGATATATTTCTGAACTAAGACTTTGCCATTAGAAGGGCTTATTTTCAGAAATGAGGAAAGTCTAAATAATCTGTGATATCATCATTATAAAAAATGTTTTTCTATTGCTCATTGTTAAGAAACAAATAATAACATTCAGGTAACAAATTACACAAGCAATATGTTTGTTTCTAAACCACATGTTCTTAATATGTATAAAATGTTACCCTACCCCACCCACATTAAACACTAATTTTACCATTTCCCTATCTAAAATGCCTTATTCAAAATATCCCTAAAATTTACCATAATGAGGGGCTGTTTTCAATGTTTGCCTAAATTTTCTTCAAGGTATATTGGTTGATCCTGCGAAATATAAAATACTTTTACCGTGTAGTTTTTATTTTATTAAACTTTGAAAATATCTGGTATCATATTTGCTATAAATTTTGGCATTATTTAGCAAATAAATACCTAAAATAATTATATAATTTAAATCAAACACTTTTTTCTCCCATAAGGGATCAGAGAGATACATAAATAATGTTGAAAAGAAAAAAAGAAAGAAAAAAAAAGTTGCAAGTTGCCCCTTCCGGGGTTTGAACCCACGCCCCTCAATTTCAATGTAGTTGGCTAGTGATTCTAGCCTATTTGAATACTCGTCAGAGTGGAGGTAATGCATTACCCATGGTCTACCTTAAGTCCCAGATGATACTGATTAACTTAAGCAACAACCCAACATCCAATGGACTTCTATGACAATTCTAGCATTACAGCATCTTTAAGATGCCTCATCGCTGTAGGCTTGATGTGAGATTGATATTTAGCTACATTGTAATCTACTGGCCGTTGGTGGATCTACTAAGGTGCCCATGCCTGCCTGAAATAATGCACAAAGGGGTGCATGCGGTATTCCTTCACCAGTAAAGCTGGAAAGTTGGAAAGGCCCAACAGTATATATGATCATTACATGGTGTAACTTAAAGATCAGTGTATGTCTAATTAAGGATGTAACAACACCAAGTGAAATTGTATATATGTATATAATTAATTTTCTAAAACAATATTGAAACATACAAGAATATGACAAATATGAAATGCAAATGTTAAACGCATCATAATGTATTATGTAATCATTAAAATTAGTGTTCATTTCTTATTGAAAAATTTGGTTTATACTTTATATAGAATGAATTTCCAATAACCTCCTTTTCTTTACATGAAATGTAACTTCTGTAATATCTTCTCAAATAATGTTTTTAAGAACTCACAATATTGATAAATCCAGTTGATCATCATATTTATGATATAAAACCATAAAAAATGAAAAACAGGAACTTCAAGTGAACAAAGAAAGTTATGTACAAACTGCAATTAAAAAAAGGATACAGTGATAGTCTGTCAAAGTCATAATGATGTAGTTGGTGTAAAATTGAAGAAGCATTTTATTATTAAGCATTGTTTTAGTTTATCTTAGAAATTAAAAAAACCTAATTCTATTTAATATATTTCAACACTTAACCTGCTGGAACCTATACAGTGATTAGTTTTTTGTCACCAGTATACATGTACAGTCAGTCCAATGAATAGTAAGGGAGATAATGGTTCTTCAATCCAATCGATACATCGTAAAATTCAGACAACTGCATAGTACCAAACATCTTCACAGATGATTGTACATAATTATCAATACATTTCAACATGCTGGTCATTTTATAACTAAGTTTTACCCATAATTCAATCGGGCCATAATGCATTTCTGTTAATTCTCTCTGATAGTCAACAAGAACTCACCAAAGTTTAGGCTTTTTGTATAGGATCTGGATAATTATAAAAAAACATCGTTCATTTTACAACAATTATTCATAAGGTTCCTTATAACAATAAAGAGAAAATTTTACCAATTATATACCTCTATAATTCGAGGGGACACCTTTTATAGATAGATTATAATAACCCTTTTTGACCAGGAACTTTGGTATATACAGTTAATATCGACATGGAGAAATAAAATCTCTACAGTCAATAAAGAAATTTACTACATTATTTTCATAATCACAGCTTTTATAACGATTTAACATAGATATAGTTTTACTTACTCCATCCACAGACATAGATTTATAAAGATCATCAATATACACATTATCACTAGAAGTCGTAAAATTATTTATATTAAAATGACACTGAGTCACATTTGAAACATTTTCAAGATAGATTTTAAAATCCTCTAAATTTAAAGGGATATTGGGTTGATTGTTATTTTCAAATGGATTGATAAATTTCCAACACTTTTGAAAGGCGGTTTTGCTCTTAGAGAACTTTCATTTTTCATTTTGATTAAAGAAGCATTTGGCTATACGCTTTGTTTTCAAAAATGGGTGTCTACATTCCAGAAACAATAACTTATTTTCAGCAGTGCTGTTATCATAGAACCTGCGCTTTGCAGCATACATTTCAGACTGAACATTTTATTGAAATAGTGTGCTTTGTATTCGAAAAGATAGACATACATGTACATTCATTTATTGGCGACGCCGGTGAGCGGCGTCGTCTTATATGGAATACTTTTCATTTTGGCCTATGGAAGGAGCTGTTATTATTAGCAGTTAATTTCATGTTGTGTTAATTATATTTATTTTGATTCGTAAAAATCAAGTAAACAAATATGTTGTTATATTTGTATTTAATAACTTTATATAAAAAGCATGTGCATTGTGATATTATTTTCACAAAATTGCAGGCTCAGATTAACAGCTTGTCCCTTTGTTTTATTGACAATACTAAAACCCGGATTTCGAATATCGTTGTGGTCTACATTGATGATCATTCATTTATATATTTTCAAAACTTTCCTACAAGAAGAAAGTTCACCTGCAAATGAGTATTAGGATAGGTAATGGACTGTTGTAAACGATTATCCTATTGATTTTATCCATATTACGTTTATCTGTTGAACAGAATGGTTGTTTTTACAAAGTGTACCAGTATCCGGATGTTGACAGCTATCCGATTTTCTGCAATTACTGCTGTCACATGGCCATCTACTTTTTTTATGAATACTTTACCATTAATTTGCATGGCATAATTAAAATGAGCCTGCAACATTTATTAATTTTGATGTTTAGGGTGTTCTTTTGGGTTTCATGTTTTCTTTATTTCTAGGGGAAGTAACTCATGTTTACTAAATTATTTGTTCTTTTCTGTCTACCTTAATAGGTATTGATTACAATTTTTGTTTTATTAAATTTACCAGTTGTAAGGTCATCAAAAGCATAGAGGCCCTGATGAGTGAATATTGATATATATATATACTTTTACTGGCTTTATATACCCAATATTTCATATTTATTTAATAGAAACTTGGAATTATTAATGTTATCACGGAGTTGAATAGACTATGTAGATCTGTGATGTTATGTGCATACATTTATATCTTAGTATATTGGTATGATGAGACTTATAATATTTCTGAATTTAAAGAGTTGCAGTTATGTCATTATTATTAAAGAGATGAGACTTTCATTTAAAGTTATAAATGATAATACATGTATTGATTGAAAATGTCCTGAAACTTGGATCAAGCAATATAATTGATAAAGCCTCAAAAAATCATGTTCTGAATAGTTATTCTAATTTTTTTCTAACATGTGCATAGTTTGAAAAGGACAGCTTCTGCCTTATCTATTTGTAATGGAGGGACACCGGTCTCAATCTCCAGGTCTCCTGAGTCAACCCGACAACAGACTTTTCATAGAGTAGATTGATACTTGTCCTTGAATAAATTTGTACACTAAATTTTATAGTGGGTGATTTGTGCCACATGAAAACCAACAAAGTACAAAAAAGTAACCGGGCGCCAGATGAAAACATGAAAATACAATCTACCACAAAGTGGTTTGTTTGTTGCATTTTCATGCTTTTGCCCGGTGCCCTTGATGTAAAATACAAATCAGCCTTCATAAAATTTCTTATCATAGATATTGTACATGTATTAGCACAGTTATATTCTCTTTCAAATTGACCTGTTATAAATAATGGCACAACCAATAACTGTCTTAGCCCTTTTTAGTAAAAATAATTATACAATGATTATTATATAAATTGTTATTTTAATTAAGACTGTGAGTATGTAAGTTTTTTTTCTTATTTATTAATTAAGAATTAATTATCCGTTAATTTAAAAATCTAAATATCTGTCACGGTTTAGAACTGTTCACTATTTAGGGGAGAAAATGTGTAAGCGGCCAGATAGCTCAATCGCTACAGCCGCGGTACATTATTCTCTGGGTCACAGGTTTGAGTTCTGGTCAAGCTGAAAGTTTTTCTCATCCTGTTACTGCAAATAACCATGAGTTTAATTCACTATGCTCTGTAAACATCAGAAATTCAAGTACATGAATCAATATAGTGGGATAAAATGTTTAGGTTTAGAACTGTTTCATTATTAAAGAGAAAATGTGTAGCCGGCCGGATAGCTCAGTTGGTCTTCTGAAAGTCATGGGTTCGAGTCATGATCAGGCAGTTTCAGTCAGGGTTTAGAAGTGGTTTTTCAACTGACACATGTTTGATTCATTTAATAGATTGCATTTAATTTGAAATGGACAAAGGCAGTTTTGCTTGATACTTTTAAATCTACAAAAAGCATTTGGTACAGTTGATCACACTAAACTGCACATGAAGAAGTTCTTTTTTCTTCTTCTTCATCTCTTCAAGCATCTGCCATATGTAATGACATTCTTGCATGGTTCAAGTCTTATCTATGATAGCAGCTGGTGAATGTGGCTGGTACTCCTTCTCTCTGAATACCTATGGTGTCCCCCTGATGTTCATTTTAGGTTCTCTTTTATGTATGACATGTCTGCAACCCTAAGCAATAAGCTTTTATTATATGCACAGGCACAAGTATCAGACCTGGGAAGAAAAAATATTACCAGATTGATAAAAAAACCTGTGTTCATCTTAAAAGTGTCACAAACCAAAAAAAATGTAAATGATGACCCCCTTTAAAAATATACTTTAAGTTAATAGTATATTTTTAAAGGGGGTCATTATTTACATTTTTTTTTGGTTTTTGACACTTTTAAGATGAACACAGATTTTTTATTAATCTGGTCATATTTTTTCTTCCCAGGTGTGATACTTGTGCCTGTCATTATATGATGATGACTCAGGTATCCTTGTATCATATTTACCTGAAATAAGTTTATTGTTTATATCTTTTAAAAAGGTGTTTCACACTAAACAATTTTTTTGTCAGCAGCATTTCAAACAGTTTTATCATATTCAACATTATTAACATTTGGTACACAAATGTTACATTTCAAAGAAAATAGCACAATGATCAGAAAATTCATTTTCATCTAAAACATATACATAATTAACCTTATGACTTGTGATTAAATAATCAACCAAACTACATGTAGAAGCGGGCCTTTTTCTGTTTTGGTATAAAGTGTTGTTTTATACAGAATTTATTCATTTCCATTGTGTAGGAAGCATTGAGATTATAGACACACTCTCGATTCCGTTCTTCTCCTGGAACATGACAGTACTGAGCAATGAGTGTTAAGTTTCTTGCTCAAGAAAGAAAAACGGCTCGGGGTTTTAACCCGAACGCATACCATAAAAAGATTACTTGTCCGACGCGTTAGCCACTCGGGCATGCCGTCTCATAAAATATAGTGAAAACAGAATCCCCAAAGAAAGCTAAACACGGCAAACATTAAATTGTTGCAGGCCCTACGTGACCGATCCCGCCAATGAACGGCAGTTTCAATTGCAAGTAACTGTCCACGCCTCCCAGCTTGTAGGTGCATTTACCCTCTTCTAAACAGCCATTTATAATACACGCATCATTTCCTCTATGTAAAAGATTCAATAATTTTAATTCATACTTGTTCAACAGAAATATCATGGGCACAGGTAAGTGAATCCCGTAGTTGATCAAGAAAACGACCCAGGTTCATGTTGGGTATTTAATCTAACAAATCACCCGTGCATGAATTCAGGTCACCTGACAGCATAAATGGAAATACGCATCTACACGTTTTATCTCTTTTAATTAAAGCATACAAGAACCTGTCCATCAATGTTAAGAAGCTTTATACATTTGTAAATAATCCCTGCAACACCGCGATTATGTATAGGTTAGAGTGCATATTGGGTGTTCTTCGTAAATAAGAAAGCTAAAAAGGAGCGGAGCTTGCGAAGCGACTGTAGCTTTCTTATTTACGAAGAACATCCAATATGCACTCTAACCGGCTTAGTGCTCCGCCCACTTGCGTTTTATAATATAAAACGTCCAGTTTATATAAAATCTGTTCTATTAAGATTTGTAACCTGAAAATTTGAAAAATCCTCGTCGGTGATTGGCTTAAAAAAATTGGCGAGCACTAATTCGTTTTGCTTTGTGGTTAGATGTAAATTATCGCATGGTTTTGAACTTTTCCTTTGTTCTTACTAACCCATTATACTCAGTACACTTCAATGAGCATTTGAAAACTGTATTGATATATAACAGTACAGTTTTTTCATTGATTCATATAGGAAAAAAACTCGACTGTTATATATCGGTTGAGTTTTTTTCGCACCTTGTATATATCAATACAGTTTTTTTTTCATAGAGGCTCTAATGGGGCAGTTGGAACGACCATTCCCAGTAGCAAAAAAAAAAAATGAAATTAATAAAATAAAATAAATATATAAATACAATGAAAAATGAAATGAAATTTACTCTCATTTAATCAAAAGGTACATCCGCTGAATGAATTATTTCCACTGAAAAAATCCCTTTAATCTTGAATCAATCTTGGTAACAGTTTACAATCCGCCTCTAACATTGGATGTCTTTTGTATATTTTTTTTGCGGCAGCGAAAACAACTTGAAAAAGCTGCTTTATCATAAATAACTGTAATGTAGCTAACGATTTATTTATTTATTTGTTTCTATTACAAAAAAGAAAACATTATGCCATTGCGATAAAACAGTTATAGTATATGAAACTCGTTAGTTAAGAGGATATAACAATGGCTGGGGCGACATTTCGGGATGTTTCTGCCAAAAAAATTTGTCTCGGCCTAACGTCCTCGCCATTTTTTAGCAGAAACACCCCTTGATGTCGCCCCAGCCAGTGTTATATCCTCGTAACTAACTCGTTTCATGTACTATAACTATTACATAAATTAAGACATTATTGATATTACGATTAAATACTATCTGACATATATTGTTTGATTTTATTAACCTGTCAATTCCATACTGATTATACGGTCAATGCACAGAATATATTAATATTCGATAAATGTTCGGTTAATTCCGTGAAATTTAAGCAGTAAGATATGATTAAATTAATCTGGTTTCTATGCATTAGTTACACTGACCGTTATAGCGCAATAGGGTAAACTATGGGTATATAATTTCTAAATGTCCTACGTGTTGTAAGATCGAGACAGCGTATGTCCAGACATTTTTTCTAATTTATAACTATTTTCAACATTTTTTAAGTTTGTTCTCTCTGTTTTAATAGGTTTTGCACTTTTTTGTTAATTCTATCTTTTTGTATATAACATTGTTAAAGAATTAATATTCAAAATTCATTCGGATTAAGATCAATAAATGTCATTTCAGTGCCGTAAAATACAATACAAAACGTGACAAGTCAGTGTTTCTTAGTTGTTTCATATCTGTGTAGATAATTTTGAAAGCGCTTGACCATTTTCATTATAATATACTTAAAAATAAAGAAATGAAAAATTGATTTTTTGTCCAAAAATAAGTATAAAAATGTCAATAGAAGGGATCGAACCTCGGACCTTTCATACATTTGGTAATCACTTAACCGACTTTGCTATTGCGGATGTTACGAGAACCTACATTAAGCTAGTGGGAGTTTTCCAAAAGTTAGCTATATACTCCAAATTAATTCTCGTAAAATAAACGGACAAAACCGAAGTAGGATCGAATATTTAAATGAGTGCTATAATGTATTCATAATTGACAGGTCAATAAAATCAGACTATAACTACGCGCTAACTATTACGTTATGTAATAGAAAGAGCATCGAAACACGAGGCTATCTGATTTGTACGAGGGGGCGTAGCCCCCGAGTATTAATCAGTTTGCCAAGTGTTTTGATGTTCTCTCTCTTTTGTTTCATAGTCAAACATAAAAACACGTTCCCTGTTACCAATGAACGAGCATCCGCTTTCCCTTTCTCTTCCGTCACAATAAGTAAACCCCAGCAAAAATGAACCAATCAATTGGCATGCTCTGGAATGCGGCTGCACTCCAGTTAAAGCACTGTGCATGTATATGTATATGTATACGAGGTCCCCACACTATGATACAAGATACATTTACTTCCGTTTTGAAGGTTTATAACCTTGCTAGAGCTAAAGAATTACTTGTGTTTTGATGAATGAAAGATATAAAGGAAACAATGAGGAACATAAATTTGGTAAGTGATATTTGATATGTAATAGTTATTTAATAAAAGCATTCAAATGATTTTATTTATCTACATATTCCGGCTTATTGTAAACAAAATTGTCGAAGATAAATTTTGCCAAAAAACGTCAAAAAGGCATTTACTGAACACGATATAAACGATAGACTTTATACAATAACCGGCGGCGGGCACATTAACTCACAACAACATCACCATACACAACACCACTACACTTCAAGAATCAACCCACTGCGACGGCCATACCCCACCCACTATCTTCTAGACATCACCTTTCCACCTTTCCTCCCACTAAATTTATATAAAATTATTTGAATGCTTTATTTTTTAGGAACTATTTTATTCATTTTATATTTTAAAATACACTTTATAACAAAGCATTCGGTCGTATTAAACCAATAGAGTGTGTGTTTGGTTTGTTTACATGTTGTGTGCATCATTCATAAAATCTGTATTATAGATATATACTAATAGAAGAGCTGGTATCTCATACCACTACTAAAAGAACCTTTTTATAAAATAGTATACTAGGATATTTCTAGTATATTACTAGTTTTACATGAATAGGCGGCTGGTCCGCAGTGAATATTTTTAATAAAAATGAAGTACAGGGTGGCCAGATATGGGCCATCCCATCATCATAGGTACCTCTTGGGTGTTCGATCTTGGCAATGCCTTGGACAAACGGTAGTACCATTATGTACGCAAGGCAGTAGCCAGGAACGTTGGGGTCGTAAAAGTGCTAAATGGAAGAATAACCAATATTAAAATAAGGACCCTTTCTAACGCAATAAATATGAAAATCAAGAATGTACTGAAGGCAACACCCCTGGCGTCGGGTAATATCCTCTTAGACTTCGCGTCTACAGAATCGGTAGCTACCCAAGTTTAAACTTGAGGAGATGGAGTGCATCCTCAGGAACGCCTATATCAGGTAGTCATTCACGACATTCCGCTCGCTGTAGATATTTTTTTTACAAAGACTTAATGTTTTCCTACAGCGAGACACTGAAATTTCAATGTGAACCTGTAAACCTAGATATGCATATCTCTATACATTTAAACAAAATCGGTACAACAGAAAATATTTGAGATTTGAGAGAGATTTTACATCAGTTTAGGAGAGACACGCTGATAGTGTGTAGCGTTTATGTTTTTGTTGAGAAGTTTTGAAGGGAGTTTTGTTGGTTTGTTGAAGTTGGTTGAATATAATTGTGGTGATCTTAATTTATCAGGGTTTATTGGTTGTAATTAGTTGTTTGGTTGTTGAGTTATATCAGTTTGTGAAGATATAATTGGTTGATATTGGTTGAATGTTTGTCTGGTCAAGTTTATATTAGCTTCCTGACGTAATTGTGTCACATATTCATCTATACTTTTGTCTTGTTGTGTCACGTTTCCAAATGCAAAACGCAGAAATTCTGCATTATTTTGTGGTTGAAAATAATCAGAAAGTTCTTTCTTGGTGTCAGCATAGTTGTCATCAGCATTGGATAATGTTGGAAAAGTTTTGTAAATTTCAAACACTTCATCACCTTCGTAGTGTAATAATAAAGCTTTTTAGTCCCCTACCGGTTTAACCGAAGGGGACTTTAGGTTTACCGTCCGTCTGTCCGTCCGTCCGAGCAAACATTTTGGATTTAGGGGCTATATAACAGTAAAGAGAACAAAAGAGAACAATAAGTTCATTCCGTGATCAAAGGGTTTAGGGGCTAGTAGCCCTTAAGATAACAAAGAAAATAGCCCCTAAACCCAAAATGTTGGAACGTCCGTCCGTCCTGTCGTCCGTCTGTCTGTCAGTCCGTCAGTCCACAAAACTGGATCCCGCGATAACGCAAAAAGTACTAAAAATATTTTTATGAAACTTGATATATGGATAGATGGCAGTATGGAGATTATGCACGTGTTTTTCTTTTGTTCCTATGTTGAAAATTCTGGTTGCTATGGCAACAAATAGTCTGAAAATATGGAAAATTTAACACATAAACTGGATCCAGTCATAACTCAAAAAGTACTGAATATGTTTATGAAACTTGAAATATGGGTAGATGGCAGTCTGGAGATTATGCACATCTTTTTCTTTTCTTCCTATGTTGAAAATTCTGGTTGCTATGGCAACAAATAGTCTGAAAATATGGCAAATTTAACACATAAACTGGATCCAGTGATAACCTGAAAATATTTTTATGAAACTTGGTATATGGGTAGATGGCAGTCTGGAGATTATGCACATCTTTTTCTTTTCTTCCTATGTTGAAAATTCTGGTTGCTATGGCAACAAATAGCCTGAATTTCAAGATTTCTGATTTAAATTTTTCAGCTTTTTCACTATAAGTTCTTTATTTCTTAAGGTGTTTACTTCAAAATTTAAATATAAGTTTCTGGTCATCAACCACATCATATGTGACAAGGTTTACAACTCTAGCACAAAAATTATCAGAATTACCTCCCTTTAACTTAGAATTTTTATGAAAAAAAATGTTTTCTTTTTTAAATAACTTCTTTATTTCTAAATGTATCTACTTCAAACTTCATATATATGTTTCTTATTATCACTCAACATTTTTGAGAAGGTTAAATACTCTAGCAAGACTATTTCCAGAATTATGTCCCCCTTGAACTTAGATTTTTTTCCGAGAAATTGGTATTTTTACTCCAACTTCTTCAATCATTATAGGATTTAATTAAAAAACCCACATCGTAATAATTTGACAAGGTTGTATAAACATAATTTCTTTTCTAGGCAGGGAAACTTAACACATTACTGTGATATAGACAAACTTAGAACTCAAAAGATTTAAGTTCATTCATGTCATTCATTCACTGGTAAAATTGAATGACCAACGGCCCATCAGAATGTTGCTGGGGTTCTAACCGGTAGGGGACTTATGGATTGCTTGCAATACTATGATAATTGCTTGTTTTCTTTTGTTTTTGGCAATTCCGAGTTCATTTATTAAATTTTCAAATTTTTCGACGTAGATACCCCATCTTATACCGACATTGCTTGGATTTTCTTTAATCGTGAATGGTGGGAATGGTATTAATTCAGTCATTTTTGCAAACAAATGTTCTACACGGATTTTGCTAATAAATCCAAATTCCAATCTTCACTTTTATTTATTTAAATATAATTATCCTCGTCGCCATTGTAATATCTGCTATATGTCCCTGGGGGCCAAGAACCCAGTAAGTAACACAGTGTATGTTTTATACGTTTATTCACTACCAGCGACTATTGTACACTACTTGGTATTTAAGAGGCTGAGTGGCTATGTAACATGATACATATATCTACGTCATCATATATTGTATGGATACTACATAATTGTGATATCTGCTATATGTCCCTGAGGGCCGAGAACCCAGTAAGTAACACAGTGTATGTTTCATACATTTATTCACTACGAGCGACTATTGTACACTACTTGGTATTTAAGAGGCTGATACAGAGTGGCTATGTAACATGATACATATATCTACGTCATCATATATTGTATGGATACTACACTAGTTACCCATTAAAGGTAGATTGCTGTTATATTTTCATTTTTTATTCAATTTATTTAGGGTGTTTTCTTTAAGCTATGTAGATATAGCTATTTACTATTAAGAATGATTTGGGTTGGGTTATCTACTCTATTAAATTTTATTGGGGTTTAAGTATTAGGTATATTTAAATCAGATATTAAATAGGTGTCAAGTGACTTTAGTATGCAAACTGGGTCCCTATTAACCTGATTTTGTAGATTGATATTAATATATGATTATGGTTATATATCTTTTGGTTATATATGTGTGTTGCCTGAGGGGAACACGGGCACAATTCGAGTTGGTATCTCAGATTTTGTCAGTTAGTTTACACTCTAGAGCCCCATATACATGATTATAGTGTTGTTTTGGGGATTTAGAATATTGTTTATATTAAATTCAAGCCCCACTGATCCAATGCGACCAATCAATTCCTGCCTCTGGGCTGTAAATTGAAAACATTCGATCAGTAGGTGGTCAGAACCATATCTCACTCCACTTTGAGGGCAGGTTTGGTCAATTTTCTTAATGTATTGACCCACACTCCCTGGTAATAAGTTTGTGCCCAATCTTAGCTAATAGTTTTATCAATTTTGGAATTATTAGAATATTTTATGGGTCGTTTAAGACTGACTGTGGTATTTATATGTTTGTTTTTGGGCAGATTGTCATTTATTTGTTTTTGCCACTTTGATAAAATATGTTAGCGTATTATAAAATACACTTCAGTGAGGGAGAGTGGTATAGGTTCTGTTACACTGCTGAGGTTTAGGCCTGCCTTGGCCGCCATGTCCGCCTGTTCATTACCATAGATACCTATATGCGCTGAACACCAAACAATGGTTACCAATTTGCCTTCATTTAGGCATTTATTATATATTATATAGATTTCCTGTAATAGTTCTGGTCTTGACTGACTGTTATTTGATTTCAGTGAGACCAACGAAGATAGAGAATCAGTAAAAATGACCACTTTTTTGTGATTGTTGTCATTTATCCAGCACAAAGCATTCCTAATTGCAAGTAGCTCGGCCGTATAGATGGATGTTTGATTTGTTAGCCTATCTATTTTTTTCATATCGTTGCGGGAAGGGATTACTACGACTGTAGCTACTTTGCCAGAGTCCGGGTCTTTAGATCCATCTGTATATATATGTGTTTGATCTGAATATTTTTCATAGTATATTTTTACTTCTGATCTTGCGAGGTGCGGAAGATCAGTTTTGTTCACTATTGATGTTAGGTGTGTATCAACTACGGGTGGCGAAAGGGTCCAATGCGGAACCGCAGCAGGCCGCCGTTCAGCAATGTCAATACCTTTAAGGCCGCACCCCTCCGAAGGTCAGTACTGCCCCCAAACGGAGGGGCAGGGTCCTTAAACTTGGATTTATGGAAATAACCGTGCCCTTAAACACCATGCACGGGATTATTAGTCTTGTTACTTTTAATCCGTATAGTAT